TGGACCGTGACACCTTCCATGTTTACATGAACGAACTTTCTAGTGGAACCTCACCTGTTGACGAGGGTGAAGATGATAGCTCGGTTGCTGATGACGCCGCAACACCTCGCAGCAGCAGCAGGAAGGGGCTTACAAATAAGAAAATGGACCTTCTCCGTGATGTCCTAGAACGCCGCAGTGAAAAGGCAAGCAGGACTGATAAAGAAGGCAGCGCTCCCGCCAGCCGCGACGGTACCCCGGACGCCGCTCTTGTTCCATCCACACCTATCCCTGACCCGACAGAGGCTTTTGACGTGGCTGAGTTGAAATGGATGGAGCATCCCGGACAGGGAAATTTCAACCAACAGCGCGAATACAATCTCAATGAGACATACGAAAAGAAGACGCATCATCTGTATGCAAACCTGAACATTTTCTGCTTCTTCCGAACTTTTGAGATTTTGTATTCCCGTCTTCTTCGCATCAAGTTACACGAGAAGGATGCTCATGATGATGTGCGCCGTGCCCTTGTTGGAAAGCCCGCTCAAGAACTCCACCTCATCGACAAGGTTCCCACAGACTTCTTCTATGACACTGATCCGAAGGCCAATCTGTACCAGCAGATCGTGCGAATGTGCGAAGAGGTCATCAAAGGGGATCTGGAAACATCTCATTTGGAGGAAACTCTTCGTCGCTACTACTTGAGGTCTGGTTATCAGCTTTACAATTTGGAGAAGATGTTTACCGGGATCGCCAAGTTTGCTGGTGCAATCTTCAATGGCGATTCAAAAGATCGCAGTTCAGACATCATCAACCTCTTTTTCAAGGAGCGCGACAAGGAGGAAACAACGCACAACCAGGAAATCCAGTACCGTAAGCAGGTCGAGCGGCTGGTCAAGGACAGTGAAATCTTCCGCATAACCTATGTAAGTGTTTACCTGCGTATAAGCAAACTCATCTAACCTGTCACAGTACCCGAACACCCAGAAGACGACGGTTCAGCTTCTCACCCCAGAAGATGCCACGTTGGAAAACGAAGAGTTAAGCCAAGAGGCACGCTGGTCGTACTATGTTTCGGCATACACGATGCGCGATCCAACCGAGGGAGTGCCATTCTCCCAGATGCGGATGCCTTTCCTGAAGCGAAACCTTCCAGGAAAGCTGGAGCAAGAAGAAGAATACAACCGCTACTATCGCCCACTCGTTCACCAAGACGGACTTATTATCCGCATTTGCGCCAACAGTTATCATATCCTCTACGAGCCTAGCAGCTACGATTGGTGGTGGCGACCGAATCTCCCTTCGGATGAGTCGTCGGCTGAGGAGGTCGCCAAGGAAGAGGGGGCTGTCAAGGAAAGACGGCGCGATCGGTTTACCGAGAAGTTCGTCAACAACCCCAGCTGGGCCCATGGGCTCAGCAAAGACCAAGTCGACGAATCGAACCAGCAGTTCCGTTCCTGGATCAAGGGCACGCGGTCCGAGGAGCGCGAAACAAGTGCACCCGCTGGTTCCGGATCAGACAAGCAGAGCCCCAAGGAGGACGTCGAAATGCCGGACGCGGAGAAGCCTTCCGAGGTTCAAGAATCCTAATTCCCATCAATCGTCTTTTTTTTTCAAGCTGTTTGGTTTAAGATATGGGGTTTTAATACCGGTTCATCGATTGTGCTCGGGGTTGGGTGGAATTGATGTTTTTGGGCAACTTGGAAGCCTCGTTTGGTCATATATGTCGCAACGAGTGCTTTGGTGGAAAATCTACGTTCATCTTTTCATGTCCATTCCTTGTTTTGCTCTTTCTTTCTGTTCTTCTGTCTTGATTTACTACGACAGCAGTGTGTCTACTTTTAACACGGCATGATCAGCGCGCTCGGCCAACGGATGTACGAATGGGTTTACTGCTATTGTATCCTCCCTGCAGGTTCTCTCCTGACAGGGGAGTGATTCTTGGGCTGGTGTCGAGGGTATTGATTTCGCGATTTGTCTTTTCCTTTTTTTTTCCCCATCTACATTTCATGTGTATTTTAGATATGGTTTAGCGCAAGACACAGATTCCAGAACTCGGCAGCGAACCGTAGAGGCCATAGAGCAGACAACCGTAGCTACCGTTAGTCCGGGGACAGCAACCGAAAAGGTACCGAAGACGGGGGGCTCTGCGCGGTGCTCTGGGGTTGTCCAGGTAGTTCAGATCTGAAGGAAGCTCCGTGTGGCCGAACAGCTTTACCGATACAGACCGAGACTGGGCCAGACCCGGAGATGTCTCGGGATCAGCAGCCATCTACAGTTGAAGCTAAAGATCAGGGTAATCGATGGCAAGCTGCTATTATGTTCAGATATATCTACTTATAAGTTGTCTTCATTACATTTAATACCTGCCTACTAACTGGCCTTGGTCCCTAAGCTACTATCCAACCTTGTGTGGAAAGTGTGACGTGCGAGAAGCGTCAGAACCGAGATATCTCCGAGGTGACGTCAAGCTTCCGTCCAAAAAAAAAGTATCGAATCCATCTCAGATGGACCAGCGTAACATGCCATTGCGCAATGGTACGATCATTTTTTGATTGCTGGGACAAGCTATAAGGTCCGGGAAGCCAACACATATTACCATCAGCCCTGGTGGTAGAAAAATGCAATAGGGTTTGAGCTATTCACATCGTATGAGCTATGTATACAACAGCATCCACTGTACGACTTGTCGCCTAGCTACCTGCTCCTTGTTACAATCAATAGTTTCAAGTAGTACTCCAGTTCTCCGAGTGGGAATTCTGGAGCTACCCTGTAAAATATGCCTTCCCAGAGGCTGCTCTCTCCACACGGGGGTGGCGGCATGCGTATTTCTACCTGGGAGCATCCACCTTTTAAATTCCCTCCCTCCCCCTTCCTTCTCCCACAGAACCTCTCCACTCTTTCTTCTTTCTATTTTCCTTTTTCTCTCTCTCCATCCCTCTCTCCGTCACAATGTCGGTTTCTAATCTCTTAAGGAGCCGTGTCAGACGGCCGTCGTACCTCAGCAAATTAGCCAAGGCTGAGGACCTCATTCACCACTTCCCCCACGGCTCTTACATCGGCTGGTCCGGTTTCACTGGAGTTGGGTATCCTAAGTATGTTTGGCCAGCTAAATTATTCGACGTTGTTGCGTAGCTAACGTCGCTTCCCTTGCGTAGGAAAGTTCCCACGGCGTTGGCCGATCACGTCGAGAAGAATGGCCTGGAAGGCCAACTTAAGTACACACTGTTCGTCGGTGCCTCATCTGGCGCGGAGACGGAGAACCGCTGGGCTCGGTTGAACATGATCGAACGCCGAAGTCCTCACCAGGTCGGCAAAGAGATTGCCAAGGGTATCAACAGCGGTCAGATCAAGTTCTTCGATAAGCATCTCAGCATGTTCCCTTCAGATCTTACCTACGTATGTGTTCCAACGAATACAAAACTGCAGTGCAGTACTGATTTATCCTAGGGCTGGTACACTCTGAACAAGCCAAAGAACAGGATTGATGTCGCCGTCATTGAAGCTTCTGCTATCACAGAGGATGGTGGGATCATTCCCGGAGCCTCCGTTGGTGCGTCTCCAGAAATTGTGCAGATGGCGGACAAGGTCATTATTGAGGTCAACACCGCCAGCCCGTCATTTGAGGGCTTGCACGATATCTCCATGAGCGAGCGCCCTCCCAATCGGAAGCCGTATCTCATTATGCAGCCTGAGGATCGCATTGGAACCCCTCACATTCCTGTTGACCCCGAGAAGGTTGTTGCCATTGTCGAGTCCGACTACCCCGACCAGACCCAGCCCAATGCTCCCGAGGATGAAGGCTCGCAGGCCATTGCCTCCAACCTGATCGAGTTCCTGAAGCATGAGGTGTACCACGGTCGTCTGCCCTCAAACCTTCTCCCCATCCAGTCCGGTATTGGAAACATTGCCAACGCTGTTGTTGGCGGCCTCAGCAAGGGAGGTGCAGACTTCAAGAACCTGAAGGTGTGGACAGAGGTGCTGCAGGATTCGTTCCTCGACCTCTTCGACAGTGGAAACCTCGACTTCGCCACTGCCACCTCCATCCGTTTCTCCCCAGACGGCTTCAAGCGTTTCTACGACAACTGGGAGCACTACGCTGGAAAGCTTCTCCTGCGCTCCCAGCAAGTTTCCAACTCTCCTGAGATCATCCGCCGACTTGGCTGTATCGGCATGAACACCCCTGTTGAAGTTGATATCTATGCCCACGCCAACAGTACCTGCGTGATGGGATCTAGGATGCTCAACGGTCTTGGTGGTTCCGCCGACTTCCTCCGTAGCTCCAAGTACAGTATCATGCACACGCCTAGTGTGCGTCCCTCCAAGACGGACCCCACTGGTGTCTCTTGCATTGTGCCTTTCGCAACGCACATTGACCAGACTGAGCACGATCTCGACGTTATTGTTACCGAGCAGGTACGTACCTACCCGTCAAAACATACTTAATCTGGCAATTGAAAAATGGGACTAACACTCGTATTAGGGCTTGGCTGATGTCCGTGGTCTCTCTCCTCGAGAGCGCGCACGGGTCATTATCAAGAAGTGCTCTCACCCCGACTACACCCCCATCCTGCAGGATTACCTCGACCGCGCCGAATTCGAGTGCCTGAAGAAGGGCATGGGTCACGAGCCCCACCTCCTCTTCCAGGCCTTCAAGATGCACCAGAACTTGCAGGAGAAGGGCACAATGAAGATCTCGAGCTGGGAGTAATGACTAGAGCGTTGTGATACTATACCTCACTATTTTTCCTCTTGAATTGGCGAATGGAGTGCTATTCTTAGGCATTTAGGTAGTTTAATTGCACATCTTTGCAAAGACACAACCTCTGGAGATATCGGACATAGTGATTTAAGTCCCCCCACCATCCATAATTCCTTGCCCCGTCGGATGAAATGACAGCGCCGAGAGACGTTTGATAGCTGACAAATGCAATAAAAAGCCCATTAAAGTGGATAAAGTCGTAATTATCATCCAACCGTATTGTCGTATTTGGCGTTAACTGCCAAAGGATGCTACCTCCGGGGTGTGATGCTCACCATTGACCATGCCCTTCCTCGTATAGAGTATACAGCAAGCCCTATTTAAACCCTCCAATGGTTCCCTCTCTTCCAACACTGTCTGCTTCTCCATCCAGAACTCCCCTCTCTCATCAACTCTAAATAGTCCAAGTTCAAGTCCAAGATGTCCAACTTCATCTCAACCACAAAACTCCACAATACCCGCGTGATCCTAATCGGAGGAACATCAGGGATCGGGTTTGCCGTTGCCAGGGCATCCCTCGAGCACGGCGCCTCCATAATCCTCGCCTCATCAAGCCCTGAAAAGGTCCAAACCGCTATAGAAAAACTCAAAGCGCTCTATCCCGAGGAACCCTACATCTCACGCATCGCAGGGAAGCCGTGCGACCTGAGCAACGATGAAACGATTGAAGATAACATCGTGAGCCTATTCAAATACGCCACGGCCAAGGATCTCTTTGGTGCATCAGGGGGTGCTGGTGCTGGTGACGATATAGTCCCAATCAACCATATAGTCTTCACGGCGGGCACAGTCCCGCGCAACCTACCAGCCACAGATCCCGGCGTAGATGTCGCCTATATCCGGTCTCTGAACACCGTGCGATTCATTGGTGGTGCTCTCGTTGCGAAACACGCGCCGACGTATTTGCCCTCGCCGGCCTCGGCTTCCAGCTCCATAACCTACACATCGGGCGGGCTGATCTCGCGGCCTAGACCTGGGATGGCGCTTGGTATTGCGGGTGGCGGGTCTGTTGAGGGGCTGGCGAGGGGGCTGGCTGTTGACTTGGCGCCGGTGAGGGTGAATGTTGTTTCGTTGGGTCCTGTGAAGACAGAGCTGTTTGATTTGTTTGGGGATGAGAAGACGGTTGAGGGCATTTTGGAGTCGTTTGGGAAGGAAACGCTCCTTGGGAGTGTGGGCGCACCGGGGGATGCGGCGGAGACATACTTGGGATTGATGAGGGATAACTTTGTTACTGGGACGATTGTGAGGAGTGATGGGGGGTTTGCGTTGAAGAAGTTCTAGTCGTGTTAAATCGTTCTTTTAGCTTGGTTGGTAGTATATGGTATGGTATTAATTGTCGCAATTGTATATTTTGCTGAGACAAATACTAGGCTAGGCTAGAAACGAACGGGCATTATATAACTTCGGATACTCCATACTCCTCCATTTCTATCTTCTCTCAATGTATCAATTACTCCGGGGGGCGGTAGGCTCCGCCGAATATACTATGACCCAGTCAACATCAGCCCATATATGAAAACCCTAGCGGGCAACTAACCGGTTGTACAGCCATCCGAAAAGGCCTGTTGTTTCGTCATGGCTACGCTTCGCCCAGCCGCTGTCGACGTTGTAGCTCTTCGTGTCTTGGAGTCCGGCGAAGAGGCCTCTACCTGCTGTTGGGTGCTATTTGCGAAAGAAGTTAGTCATGCCGTACATGATAATAGCAGGTACCAAGGAGGCGAGAGTACACGCACCCGAGTAGGATTTGTGGACTTGCGAACCCAAAGGTCAGCCCCGAAGTCGTTTTGCAGACGGGAGTTTGATGTTGATGGTGTTTTTGTTTCTGTCATTGTTGTTGTTGGTTTGGGTTGAACCCTGGTTGTTGTGACAAATCGATCAATTGACTCGGTGGTCTTCAAACGATGGGGTCGGTATCAATTGATAATGGTATTGAGTATGAGGAAAAAAAGCTTTTCTTTATTACTTTAGTTGATTGATTGACTGATGATTATAGAAACGAAGTAGGGATCGCCCTGTTATAGACGGCCATTTTATACTGAAAGCCTCAGGACCAAACTGAATGACGGAGGTGTAGGAAGACATGATTCCGAATCACCTCACCACCGCATCCCATAGACAAGGTAGATAGGAAGGCATGATCTGCCGCGCTCATGGGGTAGCCACATAGCGGGCAGAGTGGTCTGAGGCCTGCTCTTGGGGAGTATCGGGCTGGCAACCGAATGGTTCACGTACTGTCCAATAAGAGGACGAATATAACTAAAAAACTGCATTCTGGATATCTCGAGAGTTGACCCGAGCGAACGGGCGTGGCTGTTATGGCATGATGCATAGGGGAGTTGGGCGGTTGTCAGTGTTGTTTTGGGTGGCATGATTCATGTTGGTATTGGGGGCTGAGCAGGCAGCACGCGATGCCATGACAGGCACGGGAAATGTTGGATCATCATCGGCGAAAATAGGATTGATGGAGTCAGCAGATAGCTAAAAATTTTGTTTTGGTGAAAGTGCTCTTCTATGATGAAGTTCTTGATGTTTGATGTTTGTAGAGAGTTGAAGACGGAAGTGTGAGCCTGCAGCCTGCAGCCTTGTCCTCAAGGCACTGCTGAGTGTTGCCTGCATCTCCTCCTTCCCTCACCAAATCTCACAAGGGCAGTGAACACATTGCCAAATCCCTTCCCCGGAAACCCCACAATGCAACAATAATACCATCCAAAATGACCTCCCTAGGCGAAATACCCCCAACCCACCGCATCAACATCTCACTCCCCCCTGCAGAGCGCTACTCCGCGCTCGCACGCCTCTACCGCCCCCAACTGCGCGCACTGACTTCACTCTTCGACGAGCTCGTCCTGGGCATCTTCCCAGAATCATATCTCCCGCGTATAAAATCGCTAGCGCGATTGTTTCTGCGCCGGGTCCACGATGGCGAAGAGACGAAGGAGCTGCGCGGGATTGCCGACGCGACGGGCATCGAGATGTATCTCGTCGTTGCGCTGAATGTGCTCCTGGATTTATTGATGGGGTGTACCAGTGGCGCTGCTTTGTTTTCGCCTTCTTCTTCGTCATCATCACCAGCAGGGGAACAGGCGGATGGAGAGGAGGAGGAAAAGAGAATGCTCCACTTCCGAACCCTAGACTGGGACATGCCGGCACTGCGCCAACTCATCGTGAAACTGGAGTTCGTGGCCGACGACAGAGAGGATAGCCCCGTGCTCGCGACAAACATCACGTACGTGGGGTTTGTCGGCGTCCTTACCGGAATCCGGCAAGGGCTCAGTGTCTCGCTGAACTTCCGGCCGAATCATGATGCCAGTTCGTGGGTGAAGCAGGCCAAGTTTTATGGCTCTCATCTGCTTGTTCTTCTTGGGTTTAAGAGGTCGATTGCTTCTGTGCTGAGGCAGGTGATTATTCCTTCGACAATGGAAAAGCAGGGCCGGTTCACCTGGTTGCATCCTCAAGGCAAACAAGAGGCCGCGCACCAGCTCTCTCTATCTGAAGCAGTGTCGAGAATCGTACGGACGCCGTCGACGGCTTGCTACCTAATACTGTGCGATGGGCGGGAGGCCCACGTGCTGGAGAAAGACTACAAGACAACGACAGTAGAATCTAGCTCTTCGTTCATTGTTGCTACAAACAGTGACCGCGGTGCGGACCCGCAGGACTTTGATCCTTCCACGCAGCAAGAACACCGAGGTGCTTCGCTGACAACCGGTGAGCCAATCGCCATGGCCAATCTTATCAAAGATAGCATCGAGCGGCGGGCATGTATGCAGGCGCATTGGGATAGAAAAGTCACGGAGGCGAGACAGGCCTCCCGGCGTGCGTTGCAAGTCACACAAGCTCGGAAGGATCCGTTGAGAAGAACCCGGTCTTCGCAGAGACAAACCACGACTGTCTCTCCCTCGGCAGCTGTAGCAACGGCTGCGTCCGATGATGTCCTACCCGACGCGGAGGTCACAGCGACGCTAGATGAAATCGTAGGCTGGACAACGCAGTTCCCAACTACGAATGAAATGACGCATTTTTCAGCGGTGATGGATCCTGTCAAGGGAACCGTTGCCTGGGTTCGACGGTACCCCGACCCTTTGGAGGGTGAGTGGGAGCTGTCTGGTTTAGATTAATTGAGCAGAACTATTGAGTGATTATATAGCTCCCCGGTAGAGTTCCTGGTGGCTGTTGATATATTCGTAACATCGTACATGATAGAGTATATAAATATCAATATAGAGCCAGTCCGCTTTCACCTAGATGAATCCCTCAGGGGACGTATTATCGGCACGCGTTGAAGTCTGATGATAACTTTTTCTTTCCCAGATCCTATTGGCGAATGCGATGGGCGACGATGAGCCCGTATTCTCGGCCTTTTCCGGTTCGGCGACGGCTGGAATAGGCTTCAACCCGGCAGCGGTATCATCACTGCCACGAGAGGACACCCACATAACTCTAGTGTCGGACAGTGACTGGGGCGGCGGGTCTGCACCGGATGTGCTGTCGTCCGGTACGATCTCATCAAACTTCTTACTTCTGGTTGTTCGGAGAATGGTAGAGAGGGAATCGGTAAAGGCAACCCCATTATCCCACATTGTAAGGAAGCCGGCGATGACGCACAGTAGTGTGACGAAGACCGCAACGCCATAGGCAATAAAAAGGTTTTTCTGTGCGTATATATACCTAGTTTCGGGCTCGTAGATGGTCACGTTGATGGTGTGAGCGTAGGAGGAATTCAGACTAATCAGTCAAGTTAGGCAACTGACAGGGCGACGTAAGATGGGTATTGTAGGGAGAAATAGATAGATATGCTCACTGGAAATACGGATCGGCAAGTAGACTAAGAGTTATGTTTTTTCCTAGCTGATTGGCAGCATCGACAAAAGTCGGAAAGTCACCAACATCTGGATCTGGGTCGTCGGACCACAGCAGCCCATACGTCTCTTTCGTGTCGCTGAGAGCCGATTTGAGAATCTGCGTGTCTGCGCAGACCAGAGGGTTGTAACGACATCTACCGACAAACATCTCTTTGAACACATTCATGATTGCAGCGTATCCGAATTCTTGATCTAGCTTTGAATCTTTTGTCTCTTGCAATTTTGGATGAGCGGGAACGCGGTTGAGGATTGAAATGTCAGTGATATTTTGAGTCTGTTCTCCATTGTGGAAACCAAAATCAACGGTCCAAGTGGCGTTATACAGCGCACACTCTACCAACGTCTTCGGCAAGAATGGGGCTACAACTAGGATCACTTTTTCCACAAGATCCTCTTCTAGCGGCGTGTCTGGAAACGGGCCGGCGAGGTTGAAGTAGTCAAAGGCCATATCAAGGTCGTAGGATATATTCCCGGATGTTGCTTCAAAGCCCAGATATCCGGTCCTATACATATCAGAACGAGCGTGCCAGTCCATCATTGATGCATTGATACTCTCTCTACCCTTCTCGCACTGGATATAAGGCGCAATAAAAGAATGCGTGTAAGTCGAGTTTGGCGCCGGTGCGGAAAGCTTGCGGGCCGTGCCTTCCACAATAACGCCGCTTACAAAACGAGTGACGATTGGAGCTGGTGCGCCTGGCCCGGCGTCGCCCATAGTCGTGTACTTGTAGAAACTCCAATCAAAGTCCGGCAAAAGTTGCTGCGGCGATACTCTCGACACCAAAGTAGATTGCACTGACAGGGTTGCTGGTGTCACGACTGTAACCAGAGGAATCGTCCTGTACAGCACTCAATCTCTAAGTTCAGAGCAGAAAACGAGGGACAACCTACCATGATATGAGGCCCAAAATAGCTACATTTGGGCCCCTGAGCCATATGTGGAAATCGAAGAAGTTGAAGATGCTGCCCCGAATATCCCACATCGAATCCAAAGTTGATAATCTCACTGGCTTTAACCGCAAAATCCACCAGAGGTTCTGGACGCAAGCAAGGCCAACTGCCGTGGTTAGGAATGTTTTTGTCAGGAAGGCCATTCCAGTGCCAATCCGTAGTGACCATGCTTGTTGAGTCGGGCTCCCGACCGTAGTGTCGTTCAGCGAGTTGTAGTAAAAATGGTGGCTGATGGCCAGTGCCAATCCAAGGACGAAGCATACAATCATCGCTGTGGGCACCCTCCAGTGGATACCACTTTTCATACCCATTTTGGGACCAACTATTCATGCGTTGGTCAGTTGAGGTAACCTGTCGGGGGCATTTATGGAAGATCTTACCTGAAGATAAGTCGCCCATTGTGAATACTAGTAGGCATATAAACCATATATATGCCTCCAACAGCAAGTAGCGACAGCGAGACAAAAGAGAAAAACTAAGTCTCTCAAGAGCCTCTGCGCCAGCGGCAAAGCCCGCCACTTTAAATAACGTAGAGTTAACCGCCATTGCATGCTCCCCCTCCGTAGTCCACCGGTTGGGCGCTTAATATTTTTAGAAGGGGGAGATGTGCTGTAGGGGACAATTCTGAGACACAGAAGCGGCCCTGGATCGACACTTGGCACATAATAAATTGTATCCCATTGGCAACCAGCCAGGGTCTTCATGCGGGAAAGCAGCGCCGCTTCTCGAGGGCCAAAAGGAGCTGCGAGTCGACATCACCAACTGTAGTCATCCTGCCCTGGGGAGGAGGGCTTTGGGATTTTGGCTCGTACTCACTCAACACAGCCCCAATAAAATATCAATATATGGACACACCATATTGCTTAGATATTAATACTTGACAGGGTTCCGGAGTTTCGAGCTCGTGGTGTTTGGATCAAGTGGCACCGGAAATGCAGCCAAGTGGAGCGCGGTCCTGTCCATCTCACAAGGCCGCCGGCGCTACCAGCGAGGCAGAGACAGTGCAACTTCAGTGCATCGCCTCGGACAGGTGGCTTAGACAGGAAGAAGTTTAGTTTGACAGAAGGAGGATGAATCGGAGTGTACCTTGAGCTTTGTAAATACAAAATGTTGTGAACTGTTGATGATGCCCGATCGCACTGTGGGAAAACACTGGCTGCTCCGGAAGAGGCGCTAAGCCTTCCGGAAATCCGAGGGTTGTTCATTAATTTTCTTTACTTATTTTGCTTTTCCTTCGTTGGATGAATGAAGTTATGAGTAAGGTAGGCTAGGTGGTGAATACAAAGATGTTTGTTGTCAGTATATACGGCACGTGCAGCCGTTGCCCAAACGATCAAAACTAGTTCGAGATTCAATTGTCTTCTCAGGCATCACGTACATTTAAAGATCAGCTAGAGAAAATCGTTGTCCAAACTCGGATAACAGTAATACAGATTACAATATTTAGGGTGGAAATTGACCACAACAATGTCGTAATCCGTGATGAATTAGCAGCATATACAGACCAACCAAGAAAACATGCAGACGCAGACAGACAGGTAAATAATAGACAACATATAAAAGGTTGTATCTACAAAATGAACATAAAAGTATATTGGAAAAAGAAAGCCAGACCAGGCCGTACAGGAAACCCAAAACGACCAGCCAGGAAGAAGAAACTCCTATCCACTGAATTGACGGTATATACTATACTCCAAGGGCACATGGCGCTTAGAACTGGTCAAAGCAGCCCCAGTGGGCCTCAACGCCGAACTCGTTGCCCGAACTCGAGCCCTTCTGGTCGGCCTTCCACGAGTCATCCTCGTACGAAAAGAAGACAGAGACATCACCAACTGCCTCCCTGAGGGACTTGAGGGCAATGGCCTGCTGGGAGACTCCAGGGACAGCCAAACCGTTGGCGTTACCGGCGTTGGGCCAACCAGTCTCAAGGTTGATAACATCCTTGCCAGAGCAAACCTGCTTCAAGTCACGGATCTGGTTGCCGACAAGTTCACCGGCCTGGGAAGCACTGAACGCTGCGTTGAAGAAGGGGTGAAGGTTGGCACCGAGTTCGTCCACGGCAGGGCAGAGGGTGCTGCCGTCCTTGAGCCACACATCGATGGGCTCCGCGATGGTGATCTTGCCAGTGTATCCGGCAGCCTTCCAGGTCGATCTCCACTCGCTAATCATCTGGACAACCTCAGCGGGCTGCAAGCTGCCGCCGGTAATAGCCTCGTTTTCAGCGACAATGAGAGAGACAAGGTCCCACTGAGCCCACTTGGCAATATCATCAACCTGTTGCTTCTCGGTGCCGTCGGTGAAGACACCGAGGATCATTTTCATACCATGGGTCTTGCAAGCCTCACCGACTTTCTCGAGAGTGCCGCACTGGGTGTCGTAGACACGAACGTGGGAGAAACCCTTCTGCTTGAGGTTACCGATCTTCTCCAAGACTTCAGACTTGGAGTAGCAGTCGTTGTGACCCTTGAATAGAGTGAAGGTCATTCCCATGTGGTCACCACTGGTGCCGGTGGGGACACTGGTGGCAGTAGAAGAGGTGGTGCTGGCGGCAGCAGTGGTGGTCGAAGCCGGAGCAGTGGTGGTGGGGACAGCAGTGTTGGTGGCAGGAGTGCTGGTGGGCTCATTGCCGTTGGTGAAGGGGCAGACGTAGGTGTAGTCAGTGTTGGTCACAGTGACAGTGGTGCCAGGGTTGGTGTAGGTACCAGGGGTGTAGGTGGCCGGGGTGGGGTACACAATAACGGTGTCGGCGGGCACGCTGGTGGTGGTAGGAGCAATGGTGTAGGTACCGGCGCTGGGGCAGACATAGGTGGTGGTCTCGATGACGCTGGTCACGGTGCTGCCGCTAGGCTTAACGGTGGCGTAGGGGCAAGTGACGGTCGTGGCAGTCTCGACGACGGTGGTGACACCACCGAAGGTGTGGGTACCGCTGGGGAGGTCGGTGCTGGTGGCACCGCAGACAGTGGTTGTGTCTGTGACGGTCAGGGTGGTGGCGGGCACAGTGTAGGTGCCAGGCGCGGTGTAGGTGCTCAGGCCGGGGGTGGGAAGGGTGACCTCGGGGGTGGGAGCGGGAGTCTCGGAGGGGGTCTCGACGGGGCTCTCAGCTGGGGGAGCAGAGGAAGTGGCAGTGACCGTGACAGTGCTGTAGCTGGTGGACTCGACGGTGGCAGTGGTCTCCGAGGTCACGGTGCTGGTGGGAACGGAGAGAGGGATGGCTGTGACATGTCAGCCGAATCCATATCAATCAATTGCTTGATATCAGGGCAAGCAATTGCCGCAACCCGGCTGATACTTACTGGTCGGTTCGCCATAGTACGAGATGACCTCGGTGGTGCAGCCGCACTCCTCCTCAGCGACAGCAGAGGAAGATGGGACGGCAGGAGCAGACCCGTGGAGGGCGCGGTGGTGCAGACCCTCGTGAGCGTGACGGCGCATGTGGACATCAGCAACGGCCTGGCCGGCAAAGGCGGCCGCGGTGGCCAGGATAGCTCCCCTCATGATGATATAGAAAGTAAACCGTTATATGGTCGATACTAATTTTTTCGTTTCTGTATAGCAAATATGCAATGAATGCCCGCTGAACGAGTGAAGCGGTGGTCAACAGCACAGATGGAAAGGAATGACAAGGGGGAGGAGCCTCTGGACCGATGATAAAGCAGAGAGAAAGATCACCAAGAAAAGAGGAAATGCAGAGAAGAAGAAGGGCGAGGAAGAAAAGAGGGGGCGACTTGGGAAATTAGGACCAAGTCGTGACGGGGCTTGCAAGCAGGTTCTGGTGCAGGCGAGGCCGGCGATTGGCAGAGACAGGGGGTCTGGCCAGAGAGGATCAATCCCAAATACGAAAGAATACAGCCATTTCCCCAAATGAGGCCAATGGGGCAAAAGGGGCAGCGAAGCCAACTGTGCCGGATCTCCTGAACGAATATCGCGGCCCTATCCAGCCAGCTAATGATGTGGCAGCAGTGGCTGATCACTGTGGACAGAGCGGGGCCACGGAAATTATACTTGCTGCTCAGCCACTCACAGCACAGTACCACTCTGAAATGGGTCTGCACCCTTGCTATTTTAAGTAAAGCCTAAACACCACCCAAAGTCTGCACTCCACATGGGCTTCGCTGGCTGTTCCTTGCAGGCTCTCCCAACCTGGCCCTCGCCGGCCAGACTGACTGGAGGGCTGGAGTTCTTGGGAGCTGGTGTTCGCCAGTGGGTGACCGCCCAGACGAGGACAACAGCGAATTGCACTGCTCTGGATACATCTACTGGAGCGACGTGTTTTTGGTGTTCCTGGCCTCTGAGTTGCGAGGTGACACGTCTCACGGCCGAGTTTTGGCCTGGTAAATTACTTACCATGTGAACTGCCGTTTCAAGCCTGGTTTTGCCGGACTACTGAACGTGTTCATGTCAGCTCAGCCAATATCCGGCACTCTGAGACAACCGTTTGCCCCAACCAAGGATATGGGACCTTCTGCAGAGAAATGAGAACCAGTTCCCACGCTGAAATAAATGACTGAGACACCGGGTGGTCCCCATGTCGACCCCAAAAAGCAGACAAAAACAAACGGAACCCCCGAGTCTTGGGGCGAATCACCGAATTGTCCTCAGGATTTGTGCCTGGACCCACCTCTACCCGAAGTTTCGCGGCTGTGACTGGCCAATATTTCCAGACCTTTCCCAGCGGTCCACCAATGGCGTTGCTCTGGTGCCTGGCTCCCGTGACACACCGCTGGCTCGCAGTGGACGGGCTGTATTGTTTGTGTATCCGTGTTACGGCTTACTGCTGGGTCAGGGGCAATGTTTTTATCAACAGCCCGCCGTTGCTCAGCCTCACCAAGAGCGCCATGCGAGGACTATCGAAGCATGAAACACTCAATTGTCGTCAATTAAAATCCATAAAACATCCAGCCTTCAGGGGAATCGCTTTGCTTCACGTCTGTCGCGAGTCGGCGACGAGAGGAAGCCATCAATTATTGTCAATAAACCGGTCGATCACCCACACAAGACTTGGGAACAACAATTAAAAGCGAAGATCCAGCATCTTTGTGTCTTGTGGTCGACTTTTCACCGGCCTGTCTGCTCCTTCGGTCCAAGACAGACTCCGCACATGCCGAGATGCCCGAGAGTCCACGCTCCATCCAACTCGCCCAAGTGGCAAGAGTGCCTCGTCTTCTCGTAATCAGGCCTGAAAATGAAGACTGAAGACTGCAGAAACATGACGTCCTTGTGTGCTCAGCTTATACGACCCTTGCAACACGAGGCATCCCTGTCTCTTCACGTCCACTCTCACCCCACGGTCCTGCTAGGTGATTCCTTTCCATTATTCGGGAAAGTTCTGTTTCCAGTCTCCAACGTCGCAGTCGCAGGCTGGTCTCTGATGCAGGATCTTCAAGTCCGCCGCGCAACCCCGTCTGTTGCGGCAAAGATCAGCTTGATATGCCGGTCTCGAACGAGATCCAGGTTGCACCCACCTTTCCTCCAGTCAAGGCTTGGCCCAAGTCTCTTGAGCTTAAGAAAAGATCTTCGCTTTCCTTCTTGGAGATGTCCTAGTCAGGATAAACTGACATGAACAGCCTCTGCCGAGCTGCGCTTGTTTCAGCTCGGATATCACAAATAAGAAACCCCAATATCGGTGCCTTGGTTCCTATTAATATCACGGAGCAGGTCACAAACAACAATGCCTCTTTCCCCGGACATTACCAATGGCAGGTTTGAATATACGAGATCACTCACTTACTGAACATTAACTTCGGGCTAGACGATGATACGAGTCAAGAAAGGACCTTTAGGTTGCATCGAGATGCCACGGCAAATCGATCATCGGGCAACCACGGACGAGATCCCGGATTGGGCTTCCTGTTCAATAATAAATCATGATCAAGAGTCCAAGACACTGCCTGTGGGGGCCTCCTTTTCAATGCCCCTTTTACACAACGGGTAGTCCCACTCGGCCTCGAGAATGTCAGTCTGGACTTGGGGCCGTGCTCCATATCTCTGTCGATACCAGAGTCCAGACAACGACTTCTCTAGAACAGATCCCTTCCACCTCTGCGCCCTGCAACATCCCCTCTATAACCCTCACATACTTCGGCACTCATTTAAGCATCTGCAACATACGAGTGTGCTTCCTCGGCGCAATATCTAGACGACGTGAGTAGCTGGTTTCATGATTGTTGATACCATGTTATTCAGTATCATAGTGGGATTTTTCGCAAGTCCAGGCAACTTTACAACTCTCGCAGTACCTTCTGCATCCACGAGGACATCAACCCTCAAATGTCTACGTTGTAGCCGTATTATTCCCTCCAACTGCTCCGATATCGACTACCGAACAAGGACCAAAAGTCCCCTGAGTATCCCCTTTCTATCCATGAGAGTACAACACCAGTCACCACAGACCAGATGGGGCGCTTGACATGTCTCCAAACTCCTGAGACTCTGCATGACTCCGTAGTGGACAATGCAAGATCTCATCTCTGCGCAGACACAACACCGCGTGCACTCAAACTGGACGTGGTATAATATGAGGGAGATTCCGGTGTCAATAACGCGAAGCTCCTCGGAATAGAAATCCGATGCATAAACAAGAGGCAGTTGGCACCGCAGTGCACAAAGGCCGCTTAATTAACGTAAGCCCTGGAACTCAATAATGGTTCCAAGGATCTTACTTCCAGCAATATCACCGAGGGTTTCAGCATTTATGATAAAATGTCCAAACAGTTATCTCAAAAGCCATAACATGACATGATCACCGTTTTCTCCATCCAAGCCCTTCATCCTTTGAAGATTGAATCTGTATCACAGTAGAAAGCCCGTTTACTAAATATTTACACGTTTCTTTTCCATATACCAAAGGCAATGGAAGTGGACGCAGCTATCTAGAACCTGCCCCGTGCGTATCACCTCAGCACGAGCCGACAAACCCACTGGTCTGATGAGACAAGTAGATCGGGATTCGGAGACGCGCCGAGTTATCTAGTAATTTCTCTCCAGGTGGGTAACGAACGACGAGAACAGGCGGGGTGAATCCAGACAATTACTCTACTACACCTTGGGTTTTGGATGTTCTCTGAGTGCGGAGAACTTGTCGTCGGTATGTTCAGGGATCCTTAGCTCGGGTTTATTCAAATATCGCCGGCATATCGATCGTGGAACAGCCACCGGCACCCTGATTTTTTCAGCTCGACAAGAAAACGAGAATTGATATCGAGTAGAATCGAATATTAGTACATTTGGAACAATCCTATGTAGCAGTGAAATAGAGAGAGAGCGAGAGAAAAATGGTTCGAAGCCAAGAAACTGGATAAAGGCTTAATTAATCCTGCCCAGCAATCCATCATCAAATTAAATGCAACAACACAAAAGATATATATTCAGCGGTTCACAGCAACGGAACCTTGTTTCCACATTCTAGCGCGATCGTATATATCCCCCCGGTTTATTGATTATGATATATCCGCGGCGCGCACTCTCACTAATCGAACCTCATGGCTTCGGGTCAATTTAGTTGTTGTGACCCTGGGGGTGGCATTTCTGTAATACGAAACGGGAGATATTAGCACCATACTCGTCATCCATAGACAAAGATTGTCTGGCAATTGGAACATACCAGGTCAGCACCACACCACAGCGGGGAGCAGCACGAATTTGAGCCGAGAGTTGAGTTACTGCATGGGTTGGATTCGACGTCGTTGCCGAGCTATACATTCAAAACAGATTCAGTTAGATTTGCTATTGTTCAAAATGGCGAGATTTTCGGATAGGTCCTGGGGACAAGAGGGACATACAGCGAGACAGCTGATCTTAGCGCTTGGGCTCGCGGTCGAAACGCCCACCATGGTGGCAAGGATGGCAGAGAAGACGGTGAAGAATTGCATCTTTGTGGTGTGCTTGGTCCGGTTGTAGATAAGAAGGACGGATCGAGAGAATGGAGGAAGTGAGAGAAAGAGGGGCTGGATTGTTGACGTCGAAGGGAGGATCAGATTGTTGACTGGGAGTCCAAGTCGTTTTATCCCTTGATTCAACGAGCAAGCAAAGCCGACTGATACACGCGGCGTGAGCAGTGGAGACGATTTTCAGGAGAAATTGCTGGGTGACAGCAGCGTGCAGGCCAGTGAGACCACAGAGCGAGCAGCAGAGTCGCTAGGTGCCAATGGGGGAGGGATGTGCCTCGCTTGAGCAAGTTGGGAGTTGGAACTGGAGATCCGCCTGCTTGATCGAGCAAGGCTGTTCTATCTTTGTTCGGGATCGTCGCAGTTGACGACACTGTGGAACTGCAGAGCTTCTCAATCAGTGCCTCTCGGCCTCACGTCCTTACTTGCAGTCCATGAGTTTCATCGACAAGGTGTTGGAGTAGGGCTGTTTTCTTTGAATCTCGTCTGCCGCCCGACGATCCGTTGTTTTGATCGAACAATGTCGAGTTGGATCTATGAAGCTCAACCGAACGCCAAAACATGCTGAGTCAGCCAGCCACAAGCGGGGAAAGCTCTCGGTCGCAACATCATCAACTCATCTTTATCTTCCCAGCCTGTCTCTGTCTGGTTTGAAAATAAGTGGCAAATACACTAGCCGTCCTGTACGACAGTCCTGTCGATAACCCGATATGCAGCCAACAGCATCTGTGAAGTCCTGCTCGCCCAGCCTCAGAGGAAGGTTGAGTCTGTGAGTGCACTCCAGGAAAAGGAAAAGGATACAGCAGTCGTATCCCCTCGTATTGCTTATTGGCCTAGTGTAGTCAATGGCAGCATCCAACCAGCGTCACAAATATCCCACGCCCGAGTGGCTGTATGGCTTGAGGATATATCCCCCGACACGAGCTCAGCTTCACCAGGATGACAAGAGTCTGTCTTCATCGACAAAAGATTCGACAAAGATTCGCACGAGTTAGGAGTCTGGAACTTATCTGGACCTTTCTCCTTCGTATTTGGAATTAGCGCAATGACTTGTTGCAGTAGGTGATAGTTTATTGGTTACTTGTAGTTTGACCTGTAAGTCGCAATTTTATATACTTCGTTGCACCCTACTCGACATGAACACTGCCCTATCCCCGACTATCAATAACTACAACAATGACTTCGTGACTGAGGTATACTGTAGCTATTTCACAAACCTGACGGTATATCAATATTAGCACCAGCAAGCCCAACTTCCCTCATCACAGCATCAGCAGCAAGTGCCCCCTGCTCGCAAGCCCCCTCAATGAAAGACCTCCACCCAGACGCCCAATCCGCATTCGCCATAATGACATTCCCATGCCTCTTCTGCAACTCCGCCAGATACTTTGTCAAAAACCCAGCCCGATACCAAGCAGCCCCAGCCTTGGCATAAGGATCCGAAACCCAGTCATGGAAGACAACTCTCTTAATCTCCATATCGTGGAACCGCTTCAACGCCGTTTCTAGCCTCTCAGGCTCCTTGAGCGGATCGAGTTTACCTCTGTTGTCACCAGCAAATGAAGTAAGCCGGGTTGATTTCCCACCGGCGCAGAATCCATCGCCGTAGATGTATAGCATGTCGCCGGGCCAGGTACACCCGCGCAGACCGCGGAGGTCGCCTTCAGCTTCGGCGTGGATCTTGGTGAGGTAGTCGACCTGTCCGACCTTGATTGCTTCCTGGCGGAGCGGAGAGAGAGGGGGGTCAAAGGTGATGGATGGAAGCACGGCGATGGGGATGGTGTTGATGGCGCGTTTGGCGCGGTATGTCCTGCCACCGGTTGTTGAGACGGAGACGACACTGTCTCGATCTACGATGGACTGGATGGGGGATTTGAATGAATACTCAAGACCCAGCTGCACGGCGTCGTCGAATATGTGTCTCGCGAGAGCGGACTGTCCGTCGCGGATCTTGTACAGAGTCCAGATATCTTCGAATGTCTCGGGGCTGTAACCCTGGAGAGCCTGGGCGCGGAGCATCTCCAGGAAGCCGATGTTCTCGACAGAGCCGCCGCCGCAGTGGGGGACAAGGGACTCGATAAGGGCGAGCTCGTCCGGTGACAATTGGTGCTTGACCTGCTCGATGCGGTCGCGGCACGAGAGCTGGTCGACTTCTCGGACTCGCTCAGCGGAGACGCGCAAGTTGCCTAGGGTAGAGTAGGGCAGAGGGCATATATCGCGGCCCTCGTTTCCGTCGATGTTGATGAAGATCCTCCACGCCCGGGCAGTCTTCTCGCTGGCTTCTTGGAGGCTGAGTCTGCGTGAACCGGAACCGGTGTCCAGGGTGAAATAGGAGCAGCCGCCGTCATCGGTACGAGTCATTGTCACGGCATCTTTGAGCCCGTATCGTTGCATTTCAGAGAATAAGCGGCCGTGGACGTGCGAGACCCAGGTGCCTCCCATCTCGTAGGTTGTCCCGTCGACCTCTGCACTCCAGGTCCGCCCGCCTATGCGGTCGCGGGCCTCTAGGAGGAGGGTTTTCTTGCCTATTCCGATATCAGTGAGCTAGTCCCGTTCGTAGTTTCTGTAGAATAATTTCCGACTCACCGGCCTTGACGAGGTCCCTGGCGGCGATTAGGCCAGAGTAGCCAGAGCCGATCACGATGGCGTCCCAGACATGACTACTGGCAGAATGTCGTATCTTTTGTTCGGGTTGGATGACTGCATAAGTATGGAGGCCGCCAACTAAGCCCTGTTTCTTAGAATACGTGTGACCGTCGTTGGATAGATTAGCCTTGTAGGAGGAAGCCATGATGAATATACTGTAGAAGACGGAAACCGGAAATTACAACATTAATAAAGAGACAGAGGGTGGAAGGCCTAATAAACAAACCGACGCCTACTGAAGTCGCAGCGGTGGACGTTGGAACTCCAGCAGATCTGATATCATCGATGGATCTACCTGCAGTGGCGGTTGGGCCAGTTACCAGATTCGTCAATTGCGCCAACTCACACCAGCCTGGGCACGTAGAATGAGAAGAACTTCCCCGCTTCAAACTACTACCCGAGGAATAAACAGGAAGATCATATCGAACGCCAAATATCTGCAGAAAACAGCTGGGGGCAGACGGCCAACATTCCCGGAATAGGTACCACCGCAACCCTAACCACTTGATTCTCAGACTATCCGAAAGTACTAAGAATGAAACAACACAGCCTCAGCCGACATCTCTGCCCTCATACCAGGGACATTAATCTCCTTGACAATAACCAGCGTCCAAGTCGGTGCATGTCCAGGGTACATCTCCTTCCACACGCGCTGCATAACCCCCTCGTCTTGGGCGTTCACTAAGTAACTCACGACCTTATACGCCTGCTTTAGACCCGCTGAAACACCCGCATTTCGTAGCGCCGCGTCCAGACAGTTAAATATGGCTTTGAATTCAGCGGCGGGTGTCTCGTTCACCAGCGCCCCGGACTCCAGATCCAACCCGATGTGGCTGGTTGTGAAGACTAGCGATGTAGTCGGTGAGACGGGGACTGTTGCGGTGGTGGAGAGAGAGGCGTTTTGTAGGATGTCGCCGACGGGGCCGGGGATGGTTTGATATGAGATCGAGGGCATTTTGGACGGTGAGGTGGTCTGATGTTGATTGATGAGAAGTATGGTGAGGGTGCTGTTCTTTTTGCGTTAATGGTTATATTGTAGGTAGCTAGTATTTGAATGGCCGGGGTGATGGGATTTAGTTTTGGGCTGGCCCTGCCAGCTGTCTGTATCTCCTAAAATGGCACCTGATACATATTTTGAACAGAAGCCAATACTATTGCTACTATTTTTGGTCTGCTGTTTGTAGAGACGCTGGTTGGTGCAGGCTACCTTGCGGCCATTTATTCCTATAGAGGTAGCGTTGCCAGCAGGCTCATTTTCCACATTAAGACAACAGCTATAACCCATAAATAATAATACTGACTTGTAATTAACTAACGCAAGGTCCCCAAAAACTGCACAACCCTCCTGGCAGTCCCTGGCCTCGGCCCCAACTCCTCCGTCCGCTCAGCAAGAACATGATAAGCCTGCAGCGCGTTCGTCCTGAACGCATGGGCACCACCCCAAAGGAAAAGCCTAAAGACGCGATACGTCTGCTCGCCCCATTCAGCCACGATCTCATCCCTCGCAGCATCAAGACGCCTCGCCCACTCCGCAATCGTATATTCATAGTCGCGCGTTTCTCTTTCCACCTCCACGACCTCGAACCCATGCAGCAGTAGCTCGCCCATCACGTCTTGCACTGTCATGAACGTGTGCACGCCCTGCCAAATATACCTGCGCGTGAACGCGCTAACAGCATACTTGGTCAGCGCCGCGGAGCCGTCGAAATAGATGCGTCCGCCGGGCTTGAGGACGTCGTAGACTGTGCGCGTGAAGCGACGGTAATCAGGGAGATGCTCGATGACGCCGAAGGAGACGGCGTGGTCGTAAGGCTGGTCGGGCTTATGGGCGAGGAAGTCCTGCAGGTACACAGCGCCAGGGAGATTCTGGTCCTCGATGAGGCGCTGGATGTAGCGTGCGCCGTCTGGGGCGAGGGTGAGCGTTGTGACGTGTACGCCGCGGGGGCCGCAGTACTGCGTGACGCCGCCCCAGCCGCCGCCGATGTCGAGGATGTGCATGCCGGGCTGCAGGCCGAGGCGGTCCCACATTGCGTCGAGTTTATTGCGGGATGCTTGCTCGATTGTTTCGTCGGCGTGTTTGAAGAGGCCGTGCGAGTAGAAGCGGAATTTCTTGTCGATGAAGGTGTGGTAGAGGTTGTCGCCACGGTTGTAGTGCGAGATGATGGCTTGCGAGTTCATCTTCGTTGCGGTCCGCACGTAGTCGTATAGAAACCGGAGCTTTTGGCGTAGGGGGACTTTCTTGCGGAGCTTCTGGCGAGCGCCGAAGAGGGCGCCTATGTCGCCTTCGACGTCGATTTCGCCGGTGATGTAGGCTTCGCCGACGCCCAACTCTGTCATTGGGGTGCGCAGGGCGCGGTCTGAGTTGAAGATGACGCGGTAAATGGGCTCGCCATGGCCAACGAGGACGATGGTGCCATTGGGAAGCTGGATCTCGCCTGGGAGGTCGAGCTGTCCCAGGAGAGCTGCGAGGCCGGTGCGAGGGAGTGTGTTGACGGTTGCTAGATTCATTGTTAGTACAGTGATGGGAAGAAAATGTGGGAGGAGTTATTCACCAGCTGAAGAATATTTGCAGGGGGTTCATCCGCAATAAACCCGAAGATAGAATGGTTGATCTGACGTGCAGCTGCAGCGTGAAGGAAATGATCACACCATGCAGGTGTGACGAGACTCAGCCCAGCCAGCCATATGAGGATGAGGGAGAAATAGTCTGGATTCTGACTGCTTGACAACGACGGGACCAATAACCAGCCTAGCTTGTGAGTTCCGCAGGTTCCGCCATGACAGGAAGATAATGATGGTGCTTTCGTACAAGATCTAGAGCAAGTTGAGATGGACCCGGCCGAGTTACTTCAGCCTTAGACGATCAAAGTAAAATGACAATTCAATTTCGTAACTCCATAGATATAGTTTCATAAAATATTCGTTAGCAAAAAACTTCATTTAGCCCGGCAGCCACCCAGTCAGTCCAAATAAACCGTCACCCTACAAGCACTCAAGTCACGTAGGTCACCAGATGGCTGCCCCTACTCTCCAGTCTTGTCAGCCCCAACATCACCAGCCTTCTCCAAGACCCTGAGGCCACCCGATTCCTTCTCCTGCATAATCTCCTTCTTCTTCGCCTCACTCACATCAATAAACACATGGCCAAGAGGACCCTGCGCACTACTCCATCCGGAACACTCAACCTTATACGCCTCATCGGGGTCCAGGACTTCAAAGTCATTCCAGTACCGGCCCAGCCGGTTGTCCCAGTGCAGCTCGCAGATCTTCTTGTCGCCGTCCATGAGATCAAGCCAGCCCTCGCTGCCGCGGCGGCCGGTCGCGCAGACTTCGCCGAGTCCGCCGCCGGGGATGGTCATCTTGTCGATCATGGATTCTGTGAGTGCTTTGGAGGGGTCATCGGGGGAGTGGAAATCGCCGCTTTCAAGGTTTATTAGATGAAAGAATTGACAGGGAAGGTAAGGGGTGATGAGTTAGTAGACGTACGGAGAGACGAGGGAGTCACGGATGTTGATTTGGCGGTCCTCAATGTGGTCGCGGATGTGGATAGAAATCCATTGGGAGTCGAGAGGGTCAGAGGGCTCCATTCTTACTGATGTTGTCTTAGGTGTTTGCCTAGATAGATACCGTTGATTGCCTTGAGTCTTAGAGTGATGATTGATGAGAGAAGGTCAGCCCGGGCTCCAGGTCAGTCTTTATGCTCCTTGCGGGGTAATGGGCGTTGGCTGATGGTGGATCGGTGAATGGCATGTCGTTGGATGCCGGAATGTGATGAAGTCATGGTAAACCTTCGGTGAATGGTTGATGCGTGTGGTTGGTAGAGGGATGTCTGGTAGGGAAATCTGGAGAATGGCCGGGGGCGAAGTCTGGGATGCGGGGAAAGCTGCGATCATGACGACGGTCGCTCTACAGGGAAGGGAGCAGCACGCGATTACGCGGGGAATGGCTGAGAGGGGATCACTCGTCCAATTGATTATTAGTAGTCCTGTCTTTGTCTCACATTGAGGCATTCAATGACGCATTGCTAATGGATATATCAACAGTATGTGTAAGGGATATCAATGATTCGCCTGGACAATGTTAAAATGAAACACGGGCCCTTCCAATGACCTTCCAAATGCGAATCCATAATGAATTCAGGTGTAACAAATTCGCTTCAGTAAAGATGAACGACCGATATCCGTGCAAGTGCAAAAATCGTCTGTATTATGTATTAACCGTCGCAGAACATGGTCTGCTTGTATAGACTGCTGGGGAATTCCAGCAGAAGGCCTAAAATATGCCGAATCTTTTTTGTTTGCCATCTAGAAACCTGTTAGCTAGATTTGAGGTAATTGGATTATGACTTACCACTCTTTCGGGATTTCTTCCCATTGGCATCCGCAGCGGCCTGCGCTGGCGTAACACCGTCCGCCGCGGCCCTGATCGTTGCGATTCGGTGCATTGCTCGGTTATCCCCTTGGTCGGCCGCTTTGACGTACCAGACGTTGGCCTCTAGGGGATCGCGCCGACATCCGATGCCCATTTCTGTAAAGTAGCCCACTGCATACTGGGCCTTTGCGAGTCCTACGATTCATTGTTAGACGGCTACTTTGTTTTAATACCTGATTAACTTACCGAGTTCAGCGGCCTGTTTGGCCCATTCGTACGCCTCGTTCTCATCCTTGTCCAACACCGGCTCTGCACCCACCAGGTACCAAGCGCATAGCGCCATCATTGCCAGTGCATTCCCTCCTTGTGCAGCAGTGGTATAAAAGTGAATGCTGAGGGCAGGGTCCTTTGGACAATTCAAATTTCCGTGCTCGTAGGCTTCTCCTAGGCGATAGCACGCCTCCACATGGCCAAGATCTGCCGACTTGGTAAACAGCTGAGCGGCATAAGAAGGGTCGGGAAAGACATCGTCCCCGTATCCAGATACATGAAGCAGGCCGAGCTCGTACGGCGCTGAATTATACTGTGCATCCGAAGAATCCGTAGCCCGCTTCAACCATTTGACTCCCTCCCTGTAGCGCTTGCCTAAGCCCATATCCCCAGCAAGACAGGCTTTTGCCATCCGGAGCATGGCACCTGGGTGGTTTTTCGAGGCAGCTTGGCGATAGAACTGCTGAGCTCTAGAGGCCTCCACCCGTGTTCCCCATCCAAACTCGTAGCACAGAGCAGTTCGGTAGCATGCCTCCACATGGCCATGCTTGCTCGCAGCTACAAATAAAGGGAAGGCGCGATCGTAATCCTCCTTTCCTTTACTAAACAAACCCGAGGCGTAACCGTCTGCCAGATAGTACTGCGCAAACGGATAACTACGGTTTGCCAGTGTCTGGAAAATCGACTTGGCCTCTTTCAAAAGATTAGACCGGGTGATGTCGTAGGAATTCTTGTCCTTTTCCGTGGTGAGTGAAGGTTTTCCGCCCTCAAGCTCCTCGTCGGGCATTTCCATCATAGCGCCAACCATGAAAACGGCGAATTCATATTGAATAGCAGGATCATCCGTCTTCTTCACGTTTGCCAGGTACATATCAAAAGTCTGCTTATGACTTAGCAATGATGCATTATTTCCAACGGAGGACCGAAGGTGGGCATTTCCCAATTGGACTGGGACCGGCCCCGGTTGAGGATAAGGCGCACTAAGAAGGTCGACAAAAGATACTGGCCGGACGTCAGGAGAACTAGAATTCCTGGAAGATGTACGGGGTTTGAGGAAGGGTGACGCCTGTGGGGATCCATTCTCTGATGCAAAAGAATACGCTGAGCGTGGGCGCTGCGGGCGTCTGGCGGTGAGATGGGTGTTTATTCCTGGATAATTTTCTCCTGATCCTAGAGCAGGCGTGGACTGCACGGCTGGCTGCGAGGGTTGATACGGGCGATGGTGATAGTGTAGGGGCTCAAAATTCTCTGGGGCCTGGGCCATGCTGTCTATACTGCCGCGCGAAGACGTGTTTTGGCTGCCGGAAGGGCCATCGCGGTCGAATGATGACCCGCTACTCTTACCAACAGCTTGGGTCTCATCGTGCGGTTGAGGCTCTACAGCAAACGATGAGATACTGCTGGCAGGGGTATGTCGATACACCATGTTCCCAGTAGAAGGAAGGACTCCAATGGACTCCTTTCGTGGGGGGTAGGCGCCATGTTTCGTGGTGTTATCCTGGAGCGTCAAGTTGGAAAACGCAGCGTTTGTCACGTGTGATGTAAAGGAATCGTCATTGGGGTTATTAATAGTCGTACTTGGCGTTTCAGGTTGTTCGATGTGACCGTTGACGCTCACAGAAGGGACAGAGGGGGGTGGAGCTTGCGGTGCAACCTGAGCTGACGGTCTTGCTGGTAGAGGCTTGCGCGCAATTGGTGAGGTTGGCGGATAGTTCGAGCTCCGTGGTGTAGACTGAGAATCGCGATGCGACGGAGAGTGAGGCGGCGAAGATGGAAGGTAGACGGGGGGAGGGGACGGAAGAGAATGGGGATGGGGATAGCTGCTGGCCATGGGGCTCGCCATTGCGTCACACAGTGCACTGTGCACGTCAATCACTGGGGGAGCCAAAACGTAGTCGGGATTGAAATGTCGCTGTCGTTGAGTGAAGGACCTGAGCGAATGCAGGTGGTACGAAGCGAGAGGCGCCTATGAGGCCGACATAAAGGATGTTGGAAAACGAGGGCTGGGCGGGTTATTAGAGGAGATTTGGAGAAGCGTGCGGAAACGAGAGTAGCTCAGTCGCCGACGAGAAAGTTGGGAGAGCGAGAGATGGATCGTCGGGGGGAGCTCGAGAGACGGGGGACGATCAGTTGAGTGAGAGAAGCGCGGGCCCACCAACGAGAGAAGGGACTCTATGGAGAGGTCAGCAGCTGCTGGACAGCGTTGAGGGGGAGGAACTATACCGCAGCAATGAACAAAGGTAGCGAAGATAACAATGACAAGAAGCGAAGGACGAAGACGATGAGGGGGACACAAGCAAGAAAAAGAAAGGCTGCAGGCAGCAGGAGGCCAGGAAAGAACAGGCGCAGAGACAAGCGGGGGAAAAGAAGAAGCTGGATGGATCGGAGCCGGTAAAGAGACAATGACGGCCAATAATGGCTTCAGCACGAAGCGTCCGAATTCCGGTACAGATCTTTACCAGTTCCACAGTCCCAGGACAACATGCAGGAGGACAAACTAAGACAAGTCATTGGGACACGAGTGGTACAGAGCACGCAAGATTTATTTAATGGACGACATCCCACCTTTTCTTTGCCTTCTTGGTCAAGCTGGAAGTCGTTGAAAGGCCTTTCTCGTTTCGTATAATACATATAATACAAGCTCCTGGGGACGAGCCGGCCAGAAAAACAGAGGACAGAGAATCTAACAGAAACTCTAATGGATTTCCTTAATCTAATGTCTCAGTGCCTCTATACCCAGCGCAGGACATTCTGCTGACAGCCGAGCACAACCCCGCCAGTTGCAGGCTGCACTCGCCGCAGCTGGACTGCATGATTTCCTGCAACAGCGCACTTCTGACTGTCCTGTATCCTGCAAAGGGCGCTCTTTTCGCCGGGCACCAGCTGAACCCAAATACGAGCAGGTACATCCACCGGCGCGGCACAGTGGGCACCGGCCTCGCAGACACAGGAGTTCCTTCGTGTATCTTCTCCGTCTCCCCACTTTCCCAAACTGCGTGAGGCTGAAAGTGACTTCAGATCACACCAACCTTGCGGAAAATGACCTGGTCGTGCTACACTGCTTGTAACTGGCAGACTAGATTGCACAATTGCCCAAGCGAAGTGGCTTGCCGAGAGCCCCAGACTGAGCGCTGTCTGCTCCTCTCTCACAGCCTCTCTATTGGCGGGCGTGAATTCGGTGCTGAGGCGAAGAGGTACAAATCTCGCCCCCGATCTCGTAAATGTAATATCAAGATGAGGGGATGAGCAATTGTGTCCTTTGTCTGTCCGAAAATATCACGGATGAGGCGAGGTCTCACTCGAGATGATGTGTCTGGTTGCTTGGACCGGCCTTATGCACGTTGGTTCTAAATATAAAACAACGCACGACTTGGTAAGTATTACTTGAGTCATGAGATACAATCATTTTCTTCACCAGCAGAATAATAGTTTGGGTATCTTCGTTAGGCTCGTCAAGACAGTTTTTCTGAACGGGTGTGCCACTCCAATCTAGATAAATTAACAGAACAATTCAGCCCCGCATTCAAGGGCGGGCTGGAGGTGTCCGGGAAGACTGGCAAGACTAAGCGCGACTTGCAGCGAGTGAGCATCAGCCACATTGTTCCGGAGGCCTGGTCGGTCGGTGAGATATCTATTCGGAAGAGAAAACCCGGTGGTTTGGTGAGCATCGCGAAGTATTTATTCTTAGAACGCAAGGATACACATCCATGGTTGACCCAAAGTTAATAATACGTTTGAAAACTGCAGTTCGCCGATCTATCAAAGACAACCTGGCAACGATAATCTGACAAACACGTGAATCTCCATCAGGTTATTCTGATACCGAAACCATTGATCCTATCTAATCAGATAGAAAATATTTGGTGTCGGTGGAAGTGGACTAGGCTATATATATTAGCTCACAATAATCCTTATATGGCGCATTAAATGGTCTAGGAATTGACTTTACAACTCTGATAGCTGCAAAATAGTTGATTCCCAGTTTGACATGATCATGTTATAGTTACAAGGGGCCAGAAAAAGTGTTAACTTGTTTTGAGCTTGCGATCTTCAACCCCAGGCCTTGATCTTCGCAAGGCTAAAGCAAAAGTACACGAGGGTTTTGAACGAAGCTGTCCACTTCAGATCACCCAAAACTAACAGTGGAAATTGCAAGATTATCCCTGACTCGGGCCTTATAATGATGAGCGCTAAGTAATTACCAGCAAAAGGGGAAGGTTCCTGGATTTGATGTGGTCTTTGAGCTCGGGGCCTGTGATGCTCCCGCCCCTTTCACTCCTAGTCCTGGCCCTACCGCTATGTCCACTTTGCGATCATGACAGCCTCAGATCACTTCCGTACCAAGCAGGAGTATTTCTCGTGCCCGCCACTGCTATGATTACGATTGCCCTTGATATTGTCAAAAGAGTTTGGTCACTCTCGGGTTCTTGCTGTGCGTGAATTAGCCCAGAGGTATTGGCTCTCCGGATACAACAGGTTTCGAGTATATTGGGGCATAAATCAGTGGCAAGGGAACAATGAGGCCACCAGGAGCATTAATTGTGCATAAAGACTGCAGCGGCCGCCCACTTAGCATCGAGGCGAAGGGGCGTGAAGCCCAGCATAATCTAGCGGCCAGTAGTCTGTGATTCCATTGGCGACTTTCGAAAGAGTGTCTTGAAAATAGCATATCACCATCCCTTTGGGGTTAGCTGCACTATCAGAACGCTATTTTCAGGGAGTCCGGTCTTCCGAGACTCTCCGTGCGCCGATTCCTGCCATTTGGCGAGGGTTGAACTGGAAAAAGTCCCGGCTGCCCATAAATTGGACGCGTCTCATGAAGTTGTGATGTCGATTGTCGACTCGCAAGAAGTGGACCTCGGAGATCGGAAACATCTCAAGGTTGAAGATGGATCGGAACAGAATTGATGCCTCAGGTGACAGATAGAACCTTAAAGTGCAACATCTCAGCGGAACTAAGCCCTTTCCAGGAAGGTTGATTAAGGTTGACCCAATAGAATCGCGGCAGAATAACTCCCGGGTGGAGGCCACACCCCTTTAAGCGGGGCCATGCGCCTAACCCCGGCCATGCGATTGGTGGGGTGGGCGAAAGTCTGGATTTATTATGATTGATTTTCATCCGCCCACCCCGTCCGATTGCCCCTAGCGACAGCCCGTTTGTGCCTGGAGACAAGATCGTTTTCTGCTCCTTCGCTCGAGGTCGTCGCTGAATTATCATCGCAGATTTTCACATCTCGTGGTGCCTTAAAGCATCTTGGCTCAGAGATTGGGTTGCCACGTCACGGCAGTTTCAGGGTCGAACTCAGACGCTGCCAGGTGCCACTGGGTGTGGTCCTCGGGAACTTTGTATGCAAGTGAATAAGCAGGTGTATGTCCGACGTTCAACTGCAGTCAAAACAATCAGTAAACAAGCGTCCCAAGTAACAGTAATTCCACACAGAGTAGATTTTTGACCCATAGACTGGTTCTCGTGCGAGATAACATTTGGTTACGCTGGAGTAACCAAATGTGAGACAGGCTAAGGGCGAGAGCTGCCGCTTTTTCTTTGACCATCTGGGCCTCAGGGACTGGCGTGACCTCCGCATCCATCTTGGGTCGTCGCCGTGCCGCTGATTCTCTCTCCTGCCTTCACCACTCTTCCATCCGTTACTGTTTTCGTTTCGCATCCTCGTCTGTTTCAAATTTGCTTACTGTTACTCTGACGAGAGCGGCTCTTCTTCCCGACTCATCGACTTCAACGCTCGCTTTTGTTTATCGCAAGTCGTTCCGCTGTTTTGCCTGCGCTTGCTTGTCTCCGACCGTCCTTTTCAGCGCTTGACGACTTCATCCCCAGAATATTCTTAGATATTGCTTTACCCGTTTAATTATTTAATACGTTGCGCTCTCCGAATTTTGGAAAATCATCCCGACCCCGCGCAAATATTGGTTGCCCACATTCCTCGGGAGGGGTCCTTCAGCCTACATTCTCAAGAAATCGCTGACATTTTGCAACCGCCTATGCTATTTTGAGGTCAGTTGGATTACGTTACACCGTTCAGAAGGAGGTTATGCTCAAGTGCTGGAGTTCTGGCTGGCTGGAATTGCGATCGTTCCCTGCCATATTTCAGACGAGCTTGCATCCGTCGCCTTGATACACGGTTGCTGATAATACCTACCGATTGAATAGGCGTCACAATGTCTTTGCCTCAGCGGCCGGGGAAGGCATCCCCGCGGAGGGAGGAAACGTCAGCATTCCGGGAACCCTCGCGGAGAAGACGGCGCGAATCCGATACACCGGGGCCCGGTGAACCCATGCTGAGTCCGCGACATCACAGACATCATCGTTCGCATAGTTCTCGACATCACCAGGATATAGATGAGGAGCGCGGGATCGATAGTGGGGTTAGGCGCAAGAAGAGTCTCGTGAAACCGGAAAGAAATCGCATTGATCCGAGCCACCCAAACTACCTATACCACCAGCGGACCCAGAAAATGCCTACGTATAATTCGATGACGGGGACCGAACCGTTAATGCATGAAGATGGGGAGGGTGAGACGAACAGTACTCCGAGTATGGACTCGAGGCGAAAAGATGCGCTGTACGGTGCGCAGGGGAATGTCAACAAACCGATGGAGAGGGTTCCGACAGCGTCACGGCACCGATCAAAGAAAAGGAAGACTTCGAGAAAAATATCCAAGCGAGAGGCCGCAGCTGAAAGGAGAAGACAAAAGGCCATGGAGCAGGTACGGCCTCCCAGTCTCTGGACAACATACTGTTCGGTGATCACATTCTGGGCACCAGATTTCGTCTTGAAGTGCTTTGGGATGCCACAAAAGGCTCAGCGGAGCGCGTGGCGAGAGAAGATGGGCCTTATTAGCATCATTCTTATGATCGCAGCGTTCGTCGGTTTCCTCACCTTCGGTTTCACGGCTGCTGTATGTGGAACTCCGCCCACCCGGTTGAAGGCCAATGAAATAAGCAACGGTTATATGATATTCCAAGGACAAGCGATTGACCTGTCTGGGTCAGAGCATCCTGAGGCTGCCGGCATACCGCGAGATAGCAACATTCTCTATGACCTCCCTCACAAGTATGGAGGCCAAGATGGAAGCTTTTTCTTTCAAGAGGTGAACGGGGATTGTAAGGGCCTAATTACATTGGCCGATGGATCCGATATCCCAACCAATTCCGATGGAGATCTTGGTTGGTATTTCCCGTGCGCCCCATTCAATCAGGATGGCTCATCTGAACCCAACCTTACAACAAACTACTATCCCGGCTGGGGTTGCCATACGTCTCGCTCAGGCCGGAGAGCTTTCTACAGCTTGAGTAGCTCTGGTGATGTGTATTTCACATGGGAGGACACGAAGAATACGAGCAGAAACCTTGCAATCTACTCTGGGAATGTTCTTGATCTAGACCTCCTGCGATGGCTCGACACCTCTCAGGTACAGTATCCGGCAAAATTCGACCAGCTTCGCGAAAATCCCGATATCCGGGGCGTCGATCTCACCTACTACTTCCAAACCGGCGAGGACAAGCAAATCGGCAAATGTTTGTCCCAAATAATCAAGGTCGGAAGTATTGACACCGATACGGTGGGCTGCATTGCCTCACAAGTTGTTCTCTATGTATCTTTGATCTTCATTTTGTCTATCGTGATCGTCAAGTTCGCCTTTGCCGTCATCTTCCAGTGGTTCCTAGCGCCTCGATTTGCGGCCCAGAAAACCAGCATGGGCGCAGTCGATTCGAGAGCTCGAAACCAACAGATTGAGGATTGGTCGAACGATATCTACCGTCCTGGCCCTCGTCTTGCAGACCACACTCCAGGTGACCGCATGAGTAAGAGGGCCAGTTTTCTGCCAACGACTTCTCGTTTCTCTAGTCCCTATACTGTGAGCAATGGCGGGAAGCAGAAGCCTCAGTGGGTAACAATGGCGAGCCAGAATTCTACCACCCGGTTAGTCCCTAGCGGTACCACTCCATCCGTCTATAGGCAAAGTCACAACGGTAGCGGTACCTTGAGCGTTGAGAACCCTCGATTGAATCCTTCTGCCAGCCGACAAAGTTTGGTACCAGACTCCCGTTATTCAACTGCCATACCGGAATCCGAGGGCCTTGGATCATCTGGTTACATACATGAACTCGTCGTTCCTCAACCGCCCCCTGACTGGCAACCATATGGCTTCCCTCTGGCTCATGCAATGTGCTTGGTTACGTGTTACTCGGAGGGTGCAGATGGAATCCGCACCACGCTAGATTCTATTGCGATGACGGATTATCCAAACAGTCATAAATCTATTGTTGTGATCTGTGATGGTATGATCAAGGGTAAAGGAGAGGAGTTCTCAACCCCTGAGATTGTCCTTCGCATGATGAAGGACCCCATCAAGCCTCCCGAGGAGGTTGAGGCATTTTCCTACGTGGCTGTGGCTACCGGTTCCAAGCGTCACAACATGGCACAGATCCATGCCGGATTTTACGACTATGGAGAGGATTCAGTAATCCCGATTGAGAAACAACAGCGCGTTCCAATGATGATTATCGTGAAGTCCGGGACACCAGCCGAATCGACAGTAGCGAAGCCCGGAAACCGAGGCAAGCGAGATAGTCAGATTATTCTTATGTCGTTTTTGCAGAAGGTCATGTTCGACGAGAGAATGACCGAGCTCGAGTATGAGATGTTCAACGGGCTTTTGCACGTAACTGGCATCCCGCCAGATTTCTACGAAGTCGTACTCATGGTGGATGCGGACACCAAGGTTTTCCCGGATAGTTTGACGCATATGATATCTGCCATGGTCAAGGACCCCGAGGTAATGGGTCTGTGTGGTGAGACAAAAATTGCGAACAAGACCGATAGCTGGGTGACCATGATCCAAGTGTTTGAGTACGTGCCTTATATTCCCCCAGACTGTCTGATCTGATGCTAATAACGATGCAGATATTTTGTTTCCCACCATCAGTCGAAAGCCTTCGAGTCAATTTTCGGTGGTGTTACCTGTCTTCCAGGTTGTTTCTCAATGTATCGAATCAAGGCACCAAAGGGTGGCCAGAATTACTGGGTGCCAATCCTTGCAAACCCGGATGTCGTCGAGCATTACTCCGAAAACGTGGTCGATACCCTGCATAAAAAGAATCTGCTACTCCTGGGAGAGGATCGATATCTGTCGACTCTCATGCTTCGAACGTTCCCCAAGCGCAAGCAGATTTTTGTGCCCCAAGCAGTCTGTAAAACGGTTGTGCCAGAGAAATTCATGGTCTTGTTATCTCAGCGTCGTCGTTGGATCAACAGTACCGTTCACAACCTGATGGAGCTGGTCTTGGTTCGCGATCTGTGCGGTACCTTCTGCTTTAGTATGCAGTTCGTCATCTTCATCGAGCTGGTCGGAACCCTTGTACTTCCAGCCGCCATTTCATTTACGATTTACGTCATTGTTTCCTCGATTGTCAAGAGTCCCGTTCAGGTGATTCCATTGGTCCTGCTTGCGCTCATTCTTGGACTTCCCGGAGTTCTCGTTGTCATTACAGCCCATCGACTTGTCTACGTGTTGTGGATGATTGTCTATCTGATTTCACTGCCGATCTGGAACTTTGTACTGCCAACGTATGCGTACTGGAAATTCGACGACTTCAGTTGGGGTGATACGCGAAAGACAGCAGGCGAGAAGGACAAGGGCCACGAGGACGGCGAGGGCGAATTCGACAGCAGCAAGATTACAATGAAGAGATGGCGAGACTTTGAGAAAGGTATGTCTGCTGGCAGTGTTTGAATGGAATGAGTGCTAATTATATCTAGATCGTCGGTTAAAAATGCAGACGACATGGCAACCTCCCGTTGGACACAATATGCCTTACGAGCCATTCTCTGAGTATTAGCGTTGGCAATATTCCTTTCTAGCCTTTTATTATTCGACGACCTGACGTGATTTATATTGTGATTCTATTATTATTATTTTTGGATATAGCTAGCATTTACTGTGTATTATGCCTATAGTATAGTGTCTGGGGAGTTGTACGGATTCCCTGGTTGACTCAGTCTCTGGAACATAATACTACCAAGAGCCACATGGTTTGAAAGTGAAAAATGCACACAAGTATGTAGTACGAGGTAGTCAATACGTACGATGTACCAGTGACCACAAAACTTTGTTATCACAGTTCCTTTTCTCCCATCTCTATTATGGCGGCAGACCCAGCGAACAACCCTTGCGACAGCGACGATCGTCCCGCCAGACGTTGGGCGGCGACGGCGATTGTGCAAATGACGCGCGACAAGGCGGACCAGTGAAGTTAATTATTGATTTCATGCAGCTTATTGACTCTGTACCCAGTGCCTTTTCCAAAGGGTTAATATTTACCACTATTTACTATTATTCTGCTCACAAATCCCGGTGGTGGTGTGATCTGACTAATACCCAGTGCTCAATCCCATTGTTGGCTCCGTTGTGAACTTCGCCCTCAGCTCGCTCCGAGTCTCCTGGCTCCAACATTCTCCAAATCTCGAGTCCCGCCCACAACTCCACGACGGTCAGATCTCTCTTTTCCTTTCTCAGACTGGCCGGCAGATCATCGCTTGCTGCGTGTGACTACCTGAGACGCACGTTGTTCTCGCCATGCAGCATTTTACTAAGATCGCCTCTCCTCTGTCACTCTTGTCCTGCTTCTAATCCTCGACTTCCCCTCCCTTCTGCACTTCAGACGCCGCGAGTCGGACAATCCTGGACCATTTGGTTGTTGTTTTTTTGTCTGCCTCCTCTGCGATTCCGCTATCGCTTCTCCGCTTTTGCCTCCTTGCGCTCTGACATTTCGGCTGCGTCTGACATACTTCTTGGCCCCTCGCCGGGATCATCCCACACCTAATTGGGCTGCGCTGCCAACATCCCCGAGCAGGCAACGCCTCCTTTTTCGAGAATAAATTTCCAGAGCCGCAGCTTCGCGTATTCGTCCAGTCGCCGGCCCAACTTTTTTTTTGCGACCCCCCAAAATCGGCATTATTGCGCTTCCCTCGTGTGGGGGCGGTGATGGAAGATAGGCTGCGGGGTGGACAACGGTTGTTGCATAGCCAAGAAGATCCTTGATCCTAAACGAGGCAACGTGGACGACCCTCGGTGCCAATCGCGCTGTGTCTCTCTCGCCCACCTCGTGTACCCTTTCTCTGCCTGATCACTCGGGCGCCACCTCGCTTTTCCTTTCCCCGCGCGTTGTGCAAGGCTCTCTGAGGTAGTTCATTCCTTTCGTCGGCAGCAGCCAAGCGCTGCGCTCGGCGGCCGGAATGCCTGGTGAGCGTGAGCGTGCTTTTCAGCCTTCTTCAACGTCCACATCCCACCTCTGGTCGTCTTCTGCCAACCCGTCGGGCCAACATTCGAGTGATCGGGCGACGCCGTTAGCAGATTCGTCATCATGCGACGCTCTGGGATTACCCTTTCAGCCTGAACCCTTGTCTTTCGAGGGTTCTTCTCGGTTCCATCCTCCAGACATGGCTGCGGAAAACGAAGGTCACCTTGCTGGCTCCGATGCAACTAACCTCCTAGAGCGGCATCGTCCGGAACAGTCCACAGAGGATGGCTTTGATCGCATCTCATCATCTCTGCATAACCCCTACGCTGGCGAGGCACTCTCCGCTTTTATGTCGGTCCCTCATTATCCGGACGCCACCAACAGCAGGACGAGTATTCCGGTATCTGAAATAGTCAATGCAGTTATTGAGCCGGGGAACTTCTTTCCCCACCAGAGAACATCGTCTAGCCAAGATATCCCGGGATCTCAGATATCCCCGCCGATGGATCTATACATGTCCGATTCGGAGATGACCGATGCGCTATCGGAAGCGGGCGGAGTACCTCTGCACGATTACCAGATGGATCAGATAGGATCGACTGGGTTAGTGAACCAGTTTGTCTATGGTGCTGGCTCTCTGCGTGACTATATCGGGGCTTCGGAGGGCACCGAAGAAGATAGTGGAACGGATTTTGTCATGGAACCCGAGCCGCCATATACATCTCAGCGGGAGCCGGTACCATTCACGACATTGGAGGATGAGGATGACACTCGGAAGTTTTACTTGGACGGCGGCGACGACAGTGATTATGATGCCGATCCTCATCATACATCTGACGATGACGGTCATTCACATGCATCGGAGGTCGATCTGGACGATTTCTATCGGCCGCCGGATTATACGTACGGCTCCCAAGAATCCGGGGTCGATCCTTCTTCTAGCTATGAGGAACATGCAAATTCTTTCTCTGATCTTGAGGATGTTAACGGTGACCCGACGGCGGACCCGCACTTCGCGGACTCTGTCATACATGGAACTAGTACGTATTCAATCGTATTTGTCTTGCTTGGTTGCTAACTTTCTACGGCAGCGCATGAGAGAAACTTTGATATCGCTCAGTTTATATCACAATGGCTCTACCACTCATCGACCGCTTCCATACCAATGCTGGGGCTTACACCGCCAGTCCTGCCTCAGAATCCTTTATCCAGCATCATCCGGTGGGCACCACCGGCGAAAATCACTCGACCCAGTGGCCATACTGGGGACTTTTACGATATCCAACAGATCCCCTGGTGGGACAAGTTACGAGTCAAGCGCGCAGATGCACGTCATTTGCGCGACCAGTGGTATACATCGTATCATAATCTCCAGTACCCTCGGCAGCGACCAGGTGCCCGACTCCCAGAGGAAGAGTTCTACTTTCAAGGGAAAACCATGCATACAGGGCATAAGGCGACAATCGAGCACTTCCAGCTCCGCAACCTGATGTCCGTTCCCGCGTACAATACTGTCCATTTCGCCCATGAGTCGAAGCTGTATTCGTGGGTTCCGGCTTACAATGACTTACAATGTTTGATTGATTTGTCAGTGCCTACTGTCGAGTCTGGGTTTCAAGGTCCGGTGAAGATATCCACAACGAAAACAGCTGTAGGCGTATCCATCGCCGGAGGCTTTTTCGGAGAGTATGCTATACGGGCAATGGGTGCCAACGACAAGGGGGTGGAGGGCTTTGTTACGACAAACCGGAACGGAATCACCAACCACATTGATATCATCCCGAGTCGCACGAACCGCGCGCCTATCGGGGTTTTTGCCTCAAACGACCAGCACGTACGGACGTTAGATTGCGAAACCAACACCTTCCTCAGCGACCATGCGCTGACGCATGCGGTAAATTGTACTTCTACCTCACCGGATGGCCGTCTGCGTGTCATTATTGGCGACTCTCCAGATGCCTGGGTCGTCGAAGCGGATACCGGCAGGCCGGTTCATCCTCTCCGCGGCCACCGCGACTTCGGTTTCGCTTGCGCATGGTCTCCGGACATGATGCAGATAGCTACAAGCAACCAAGACAAGTCCGCAATTATTTGGGACGCTCGTACATGGCGCCCACTCCAGAAGATTGAGTCCGACGTAGCAGGCTACCGGTCTCTGCGATTCTCCCCGGTTGGAGGGGGTCCGCGAACCCTGTTGCTCTGCGAACCGGCAGATCGGATTGCTATTGTGAACGCGCAGACATACCAAACCCGGCAGGTGCATGACTTCTTTGGCGAGATTGGAGGTGCGGACTACTCGCCTGATGGAGGCACAATCTGGGCAGCCAACACGGACGAGCACTTTGGTGGGTTCATGGAATACGACCGACAACAGTGGGGCCAGCAGTATGGCCTGCAACAATCGCCCAATGAGTGGGTTAAGGAGTCAGATCTCGATGAAGATGAGCGCTGTATCTTGAGCGAACGAGAGCGGCGATCGAGGTACTTGTGGAACCTAAGCGACAAGGAGCACGATGAGCTCCTCCTTTTTTAAATTTCTATATATCTTTTGGTCACATTTACATTTTTTTTTTTTATCCCAATCATTGGGAATTTGCAGCATTTCAGCGGAGATACCATACGCACTTCATATATACTGAATAAACATACCTGTACCTATGAGACAATAGCAGGACGTACCTGATTACCTGACAGATTTTCTTTGTGGGAGTGTGGCTCAAGTGACGTAGCTGTGCTCCCCTCCTGTGGCTGTGCGGTGCTGGTTGCTGCCCAGATAGGAAGAGTTATTTTTGCCACTGCTGCAAGCCCTGGAGTTCAGCCAATAGGAGACCCGTAGGCCCGATCTTGCTGGATCCATCTGCTCTCAGCTGCCCACCAGCAGCCACAAACCCCTCCCCCTCAATCTCATACATCCAAATAAATACTTAGGCAGCTCACCCACGTCCCCCCGATCTCAAACAACCTGGAATCCATCTCATCTTCTCCTATCAATCATCAATTCCATCCATTGAAATCTCAACCCTACCTTTGAAGAACAACTCACCGACCAAAATGTCTTTCCAAAACATCATCGCCGGTGCCGTCAAGGACCACTTCAACCAGGACTCCGGCCACAGCGGCAACCAGGGCGGCAACCAGTTTGACCTTAACGGCGCTGCCTCGCACGCCTCCACCCACTCCTCCGAAGACAGCTCCCTGTTCTCGCAAGCCCTCAAGTTCGTGCAGGAGCGCAACTCCGGCAGCGACCACGACGTGGACGAGGAGCACGCCGTGAACTCGCACCGGCGCTACGAGCAGGGCGGCAACATGGACTCGCGAGACATGGGTGCTGGTGCCGCCATGCAGGCGCTGAAGATGTTCAACTCCGGCAGCGGCGGGGCTTCGGGTGGTGGACAGGACAAGAACGCTTTCATTGGCTTGGCCATGGCGCAGGCGAGCAAGATGTGGGAAGAGAAGAACGGCAAGGGAGAGGCTGTGAGTATCATCCTACCTAGTTTACCTACGGATGTGTTATTACTGTGAGAATCGATGGCTAACGCATGGTTGGTTGTGTTTCTTTAGAGCGGCGACAAGCAGTCTGCTGTTAACCAGGCCGCCGAGATGGCCTTCAAGATGTACATGAAGAGCGAGGGAAGTGGGAGCTCTGGCACCGGTGGCCCCTCGGGACTGATGGGCCTTGCTAGCAAGTTCTTGAAGTAAACTGGCTACCGGTTTACTTGACTGTGATACCATGGTTTTGGGTGCTGGGTTCGGCCTATATAGCCAGCTACCTTGAAATTGGACATATATCTTATCCTTTTACTACGAATGAAATTGATATCTGATAACTGAATGATTCTGCATGTGATTGTTGTTTCCTTTTCCTCAGTGGAGTGAACAATGTGGCTGCTGACTTGGATATAACTTCGCTTTCGGCTGGCTCTCTGAACCTCAACCACAAGCTCCATCCTATTCCTCCCAAAATTTTGATCTGATGCACCCTCCTGTTTGTGTCATTGTCTCGCATAATTCTCCAAAAACCTTTTCTTCCTGTGCTAGCAAGTTCTGTTTCACTCAGTGCAACGGTCTCGACAGAGCCAACCCGTTCCAAGTTGTGAGGCTCTCTCGTCACAGATATCTTCACGGCTACCGACCGACTTACAGACAGTGGGATGGGACTGTCCAGACCTCTAACTGGGTCCCGGTGTCAGATATCACCAATGAGCTCTTGAGCCACCCTGAGCCACCCACACTGATAGAAGCCATAACTTGCGGAGAGTGAAGTTTACAAAATGCCCGCAGCTCCAGTGGGCATTTGTGGCGAAGCAGGGTCCATGTCAAATTCACATTCAAGCACGGATGTGTTAACCGGTGTGTGATAAGGTGTATTTCCCCTTTCTGTTTCTCTTTCCTTCTTTTATTTTCTAGTGATGTCCTGCGTCCTCACTATATTGAGCAATCCCCGGATCCGCATCTGCACCTGCATGAATCCGGACCGATTACACGATCATGGTTGATCAGAGTGCTGCTCTCTGCGGCGTGGCAGCTGCGTTTGTGGCCTTGTCCAGCATTTCAGTCGCCCTTCGCTGTTATGTGCGGCTGCGTATTGTCAAGGCCTTTGGCTGGGATGACTTTGTCATGATACTTGCATTAGTATTTCTCCTCCCAGGACCCAATTGTTTCTCAGCCAGATGCTAATTCTGCAGCTATTCTACATCATGCTCTGTGGGTGCATGATCGGTGCGTATGTCTGGGGCACAGGGAAGCATCTGTCAGAGTTGACTCGCAAGCAGCGAAGCAACGCAATGGTAGTGAGTTTTAACTAGAATACATTTGCAATTAGCATGCCATCAGCCTAACACCGGCAGTACTGGTTTTTCGGTGATCTTTTCTACGCCATCTCATCAGTCCTGGCCAAAATGTCTGTGTGTATATTTCTTCTCCGTGTCATGGTGTCCTCATTGCATAGGAGGGTGCTGTACGGAGCAACAGCGCTCGTGGTCACCAGCGGCATCGTCTTTTTCATCCTTATGATGGTCCAATGCTCGCCCATCTCCTTCTGGTGGAGGCATATCGAAGGAGATACGGATGGAAAGTGCACCACCGTCAACACTATCGGGATCATGCTATACGTCTTCAGCGTAACATCAGCGCTATTTGATATGACTGTGGGCTTGCTCCCTATTATCCTTGTTCGTGGCCTGCAGATGAGTCGAAAGACGAAGATTGCTGCTGCGGGCCTTTTAGGACTTGCGTGCATGTACATATCTTCCTGTCCTACCTATTGGTACCCCAGTCCGTGCCATTCTTTTGCTGACAGTATACACAGTGCGAGTGTTGCCATCATCATCCGAATTCCCTTTGTCACGATAATTCACGATAAGGGTTTCCTATGTATGCCATTCCATTTTATCTATATTACTATTGACTTATAATATACTAACCGTCCATCGTGTATTAGACTCAGCCATCCCAGTAGGCCAATTACAGCCTCCGCCCCTCTGAAAGGTACTAACAACCCGAAGATAGCAGTCTGGTCCTGCATCGAAACTGGTCTCTCAATAACAGCCGGCTCCCTCGCAACCCTCCGACCACTCTTCCGCACGTTCTCCAGCCGCTCCTCCACCAGATACAACCCCTTCGCCAACGGTCCCTCCAACCCCAGTAACTCCATAAAGCCCCACAAGTCCAGGTTCAATGCTAGCAAACTCACACCAGATCCATTTAACCCCGCCACCTTGGACAGCGACCTCGGGATCGGACGAAACAGGAACCCCGCAGCACTGACCACCTTACCCCGCCGTAGCAATAGCATGGATAAAGAGCGCCTTGAACCTCCAAATGAGAGCTTCTTTGAGCCCTTTGCCGGTCTACCGATGACCAACATGCGCTCGACTGTTGATATCGAGGGGGGTGAAACTGGCGGAATCCAGTTTCCTAAGCGGAGTGAGGACCCTGTGCCGCGGATTGAGATCCATCAGACATTTGAAGTTTCAAGAAGTAGTAAATGAGTGGGTTTGGAAGACATTTGTTTCAGACATTTGTATTGGACAGTTTGCAGCTTAGACTGTTTAGATTGTGGCACTTTCAAATTAGAATGGCCGTGGACGGTCTTTCTCATTTTTTTCTTTTTTGATAAAGCATATTGGATAAGTAGGCGTATACTAACATATGCACTACGATTTATGTTGATGATAAGACTAAGATATGGAATGAAATGGTATTGAACGCATTTTTGCCTCCTCAAGTCTACTTACAATGATCGAAGGATTGATCGCCCATCCGGAGAACACACAACAACGAACCCGTATGCAAGCGCCAAACAAATGAATTCTCAGACGTCCGGGTCGCTCCAGTGGTATAGTAGAAGTTCTAAGAACTCTCCAAACAAGAAACAAAAAAACCCCGTCTAATGGCTAAAACAAAAGTGCGAAAGGAAAAGAAAGAAAATAATTAACATAACAGAAACTGGAAGATACAGAGGGGGGAAAAGATGTAAGACAATCACCAGTCATCGTCATCATCATGTTTGCCCTGCATGGCACTCTGCCGTGCCCTCAGTGCTTCAGCAAGACCGCCTGCGAGGCTGGCGTTGGACACACTGTTCGGCGTGCCGCGGCCACTTGCGCCAGAGGAATCGCCCTGCGAGTTCATGCTGACTGCACTATCTCGGGGCGCAGAGGGGGGTGCCGGAGCTGCTTTCCGGCCTGCCATGTTTGGTCGTTTGGCCGGGGGTGCTGGAGGTGCCGCTTTGGCCTTTGCTGCGGCGACGGTGGCTGATCCGTTCACCGGTGTTGGGCTTGCTCGGGGAGCGACTGGTGGAGGAGGGGGAGGTGTGGGTTTTGGTGCGGGAGCAGCTTGCTCCTCTAGGTAAGCTTCGGGAGACCAGCCTTGGGCTGAGGTCTCAAGATTCATGCATAGCCACCAGCCTAAGTGTCGTTAGCTGTGTACATGGTTAGAGGATGAGAAGAAAAAAACTCACCATTTCCTTCTTTCGACATAATCTGGACAAGTTCACCGGCGCGAATTGATAGCATGCCGCTACTATCGCTGTTGAAGTCGTACAAGACCTTGGCCTTCTTTGGTCCTGCCGCCGCAGCAGGCGGTGGTGGCGGCGGGGGAGGTGGTGCCCTCGCAGATGCGCTTGATGAATTGCGTGAATGCGAGGCAGCAACAGCAGCAACAGGCTGGGGAACGGCCCTGGGGGTTGGTGTCGGCCGTGCTGCAGCTGGCTGGGGCGTAGGCTGTGGTACGGCTCGACGCTCCGGCGCGGGTCTCGACGCAAGCTTTGAGGGCCCACCACCTGGGCCACCTGGTCGAAGGAGCTTGCCTGTTGTGACAGGTCGGGCAGCCACTTGCTTCCCTCGGGGGGTTGGTTTGGACACAGAATTCGGCGGTTCTCCTGAGCCGGTGTGGATTGTTCCACTCTTATAGGTGTCAACCTGGGTTGCGGATGGTTCTTTGACGACCTTGACGGTAGCCAGCTTTCCTGGCTTCTTGTTGTATTCGATTCTGTTTCGGTTAGTAACAGTCACTCTTTAGGGTGAAGGAGGCTTACTGTGGGCCGATCTTTAGATTTAATTGCCCACGGAGAGCACTGTTAAGATGAGTGAAGAACTCGGTCTTGAAAACGCAGTTGACGAGCGGATCCGGTTCCTGTCCACCGATGACGAACGAGAACCAGTCATCCCGATAATTGGAAGCACTAACGGCTTTGATGGCTCCAATAGGAATGGTTTTCTCCGAGGAAATGACAAGTTGGTTGTTCACGAAGTTCTGGGCTACAATGTATACATGTCGGTTTGTCTGCGGATGTCAGTAGCAGTCCATCAACGGGAGTAAAGGAGCCGAGCCATCCATACCAAGACGAATATGCGAGGCGCAGGTTTGCTTGAGCGACCGAACTTAGATACTAGCACCTCACCACGGCAGGAGAAAAGGACATCCTCGGAGGCTATATAAAGGTTAGCATTTCATGTTTCAAAACGTTGGGTTCATACATACAATTGATGGCAGCACCACTGCGAATCATCTCTCCAGGGCCACCCTTGTTACCAATACCAATATAATCACCGAGGAATCGTCGAGAACCAAGAATACTCATTCTTCTGCGCTCTTTTCGACCGTTCAGGATTTGGTGGCCTTGGTCACGTAGTTTGATAAGCTCAAGCCCACCAGTAGCACGGCGCCAGAAGCGTTGGATACGAATAGCACACTCCGTACGGTAGCGCAGGTAGTTCCGCCATGCCCGCTGGATTCGAATGGCCATGTTGTGCCAGTAACGGTCACGCATAGCCTCCAATGCAAAGAGTGTCTCGGGGGTCTTGATGAAAACCTTTGTGATACCCATCTGGTACTCCTCGGCAGGGATCCGGGTGTCCTTCAAAATCTGGCGAGCTCCTGTTTCGATATCGCCGGACCAGGTATATTCACCAGCATAAGAAGTCTTGGGGGATAGCAAGTAGAAGCGCTCAACGAACTTGTCGAAGGTTTGACGGTAAGCGAAACCTGCACGTCGAATGCGAACGTTCTCTTGGAGACCGAGGTATTTGATCTGGTGGAGAACATTGCCCTCGTTAAACTCTTTTGGAGCCTTGTTGTCGTTTGGCTTGATAGTTCGTATGTACGATGGCTGGGCCTTCATCAATGTTGCGACCAGATCGTTGGCGGAGGCTTTGATTTTATCACTGGCAGTAGGCGGTCGTCGTTTGTCATCCTGGTTGACCTGTTCCGGGAAGAGCGAGTGCACAAACTGGTTGCCACTCGACTGGACAAGGTTCAACAGATCCTTCAGGAGCTGGTCCTTGTTCTTGTCGGTCATTCCCTGGATAGCATAGCTGACATCACCGGCGTAGTGCTTGACAATGAACTGGCCCTGTCGGCTCTCGAAGTTAGGGTTCTGCCCAAGGAAGTTCAGTCGCCCAACAAAGGTGTTATCAGCAGCTCCAGAATCAGCGTGGGCTGTCGCACAAGCATCATTCAGCGCAGCGAAGACACCGGGTGGTCGCTTGTCTTCAATCAGCGAGCACACAACCTTGTTATCAAAGTACTTGATGGGCGTCCATGTGATCTGCTCGCGCTCATACTCGTCCTGTTCTGCCTTGAGCGTCAACTGAATGAAAATCTGTTGGAGCTTCTCGTTGACGTAGTTGATGCAAAGCTGCTCAAACGAGTTCTTCTCGAAGATTTCGAAACCATAAATGTCGAGAATACCAATGGAATTCGTCACTGAACCGCGAGCTGTCAAAGACTGATTGACGCGCTCCACAATCCAGTCGAAGAGATTGAAGTAGATTGCCTTGGCCAAAGCATCCCGCACAGCAAGAGCCTGAGTGGTGTTTAACGGAACCTCATAAACAGAGCCGCGGCGGCCACCACGGCTAGTCTCCATCATGCGAATAGTCAATGCCTGATTGACTTGACCGGCGTCAACCTCCAGCAGGTACGCGACAAAATCTACCACTGACTGGTCCGTAATGGCAGCATTTCCAGAATCGTCCTCCCCAAACTGAATGTTTCCAATCCACAAAATCACGGACAGCATTCGGAAAACGTTGTCCTGCTCCGCTTCTGACATTCCAATGACGTTCATCGCATCAAGGGTATCTCGGAAATCTGCCACATCGTCGACATGGGGGACATCGAAACATTTCGATCGGCTCGTGTATAGGTAAGACTGGGGCTGTTGAATACCGAATGAATCTAACTCCGTATTAGTATGCGTACAATGCAAGTTAGGAACATCGAGCCATACCTCTGTATTTCTGCGGCGCACCCTTGGCGAACTGATAGAAAATGTGGAAGTTTCGCTCATTGGTGATTTGTCCCACCACTCTCGATTTCTCCAATAGGTAGTTTGTGATGTTGGCACCAACAGGCTCGCCCTGTGCGTTGAACTCCAACTCCAAATACTTTCCGAACCGTGAGGAATTGTTGTTGCGCAATGTTTTGGCGTTACCAAACGATTCCAACAAAGGATTGGTCGCCAGAACCATGTCCTTCGTTTGCTGAATAGATGAATCATTTCCCCCAGATACACTAGCAATGTACTGCATGATCCGCTTCGCCGCTTCGGTCTTACCGGCACCCGATTCACCAGAAATGATCACACACTGGTTGTCTTTATAGGACTTCATGTTATAGTACGAGGATTCTGCGACCGCGAATACATGGGGAGGGACCTCGAGTCGGTTCTTGCCTCGGTAGGATTCGAGGACACTGTCGGTGTAGATGCCCACTAATAAGGGGATATCCAGTCAGCCAGGTATCCCACCACAGGGTCAAGGTCAATTCACTTACAGTCTCGGAAGGGGTTGACAGAAACAAGCACATGGCCGATATAGGTCTATTGGAGAGTCGCGTTAGCCCGTTCTCCCTCTGCGCATCCGCCTCAAAGCCAGGGCGGGCGACTTACGTAGATCTCGTCATGTTGAAATCGTAGTTTCAGGTTGTCGTTAATAGCCTCGTTGGAGATCTTGCTCAGCAATGTAAGATCCGAAACACCAATCTCCTTCTTCTTTGTGGTCTCAAAAACGGCCTTCCGAACTTGAGGCTTACCCCCCGCTTGTCGGCCGTCGCCCACATCAGCGGCGGCCTTGGAGCGACCGAACCGGCTCTTCTTCTCCCCGCCCACAGGACGTCGTGAGTGACCCTAGATAGGACGGAACGGTTAGCCCATGTCTTTCGCCTAACAAAACGGCAGGCAGTGTTGCCTTGAGCGGACTCACCATTGTGAATGTTGCCGACCACCCGGGGTCTTGCGCCTAGGCGACGAAGATTATCTGGCCTATCAATTGGCAGCGGAGATAGAGGGGGATAACGCTTAGGCAAGGAGGGGAATGAACACAGATGGGAGAGGGTTCATTCCACGCGGGGATGTGTCAAAGAATACAGAGAAGCAAAAGAATAAGGAAAAGCTTGAACAAGGGACGAAAGAGTGCAAGTGTGCACAAGGGATTGAGAGGAATGACGATGTGGAGGAGGATAGTCGCTCTTAGTCTTGACTCCAGGTCTGGATGGATGGGACGGGCACCGCTTGCGCCACACTCCTTACACGTGTGGCACCGTTGGGTGTCTTTCTCAGGCCGACAACGCGCAATCAGCGGCCGTTCCGTTATTAATATCCCTCAGGTATTCTTGCTGCCTCTGGGCCTGCCAGCCTGCGTCCAGGCGGCAAACCATCGGCCTTCGCCTGTTCCTGGCGCTGTATTATTGTGCCATCATACTCCCCAGTTCGTCGACACACTATTCAGGGTCCAGGCAAATTAATACGGTGCCCAAAGGAGTTTACGATAACGTTTAACACTATCTTACTTTAAATAGAATTAATTTTTTTCCTTTTTGTTTTTTGGTTCTACGCCATGTTAAGGAATTGTGCTGTGTGAGTGCCGCGGTGGTGGCAATATATATCTCGGCGCAACCAATGAGCACTTTGAGTGATTACCTCGCAAGTAGGCATCCAGATAACATATTATTCTCGGGAAATATCCTCCTGCCAGAATCTTATAACTCTTTTTGCTGTATTTTCCCCCAAGTAATCTTCGATAAGATTTTGGCCCTCCCGTGCGTGCGTGGCTTCGCTTAACTTCCGGAACGTTGGGAACAAGTCACTCAATATATTGCTAGCCTGCTCACAAAGAGGGGTCCAGTCTGGAGTAGCTTGAGCTAGCAGCGCAACAGAATCGGCGAGAGACGGACTGCCCATCGGTATATCTTCGAGGTTCGCTATGTACTTTTGAATAGCTGGAAAGAACGAGGGCGTGTCTGGTATAGCAATCACTGGAAGAGGACTCGTGAGACTCTCGAACATACTGATTCAACCCTGCAGTATTAGTATGCGAGGCCAATAATGATTGAGACGTAAGCTTCGTACAGCACTTGCAACGCTAGAAGGTCATCAAGGCTGCACTTGCCGTTAGCACTGGTAAACGCCTCTTGTGACAACATAAGCGCAACCGCCTTTTTGGGTGATAGCGGAGTTTCCGAGGTAGCGAAGTGTCTAAGTCGAAGGTTGGTATTCTGTTTTTCGTTGTCTTCAAGAGAGGACGGAGTTAAGAGAAGGACCTCGAGGGGCTGAGCACTGTTTATTTGTTGGAAGTTGAAATCACCTGTATGCGGACTCCGCGCTTCTGTAGACATGGTTACTACGAAAGAGCAGATAAGTGTTAGTTATAGACGGCGGATCTGACCTTCGACAAACTCGGATGAAGCTGTTAAGACAGGACCAATTACTTTCCAGATTGAACGACCTCGGAGCGATGGACTGTATGTACCCCGAAGCCCTGATTGACCGTCCATATTGGTAAAGGAGCACTATTCAGCATGGAGTTATTGTGCAGAGTGATAGAAAGTGGAGTTGACTAGATGTATGTACAGATGGAGAATCAACGCTCAGTCCATGCACGGGATCCCGGAAGGCCACTCCAACCTTCCTTCACCATTTGAGAGGGGTATCCGAGAACAACACATAAAAGAAACGCCAAAGATGCGAAAGATTCTATAACAAATAGATGCCAGAGTATTAACTCTGCAAAATTGCTAATTAATTAGGTCAATCAGTGACCGACGACATATTCCACTCTAACTGATGGTACCCACATCGTTCGTTGCCTGTACACAAAACACGCTCACTTGAGGTATTGGGGAATCCCAAGTCTCGCAAATTCAGAAGCATGGACTGTACATAGTAAAGCAACGGGGCACCCGCTCAAGTCTTTTTGGGTACCGCAGTTGAATTGGAGTCAATTGGAATATTTGCTGTTGCTGAAGGAGAAGTGCCCGGAGTAGGTTTGATGGTATCGCTCGGAGGGTTGGTTTGGCTTCCATCAGCTGGCTTCTCAGACTGCTGTTGGCTGTTCCCAAACGAAAAATATGATGCTATCGTCGAGAGCCAACCCTGTTCTTCAGGCTCTACTGCCGGCTCCGGCTCCACATCCTCAATCATCCGCAGGAGGATTTTACGGGACGGCGGCGGTAGATCTCCCTGTTTTTCGAGAGCCACGAATGCCTCCCTGTAAACTCCCACCGTGTCTTCAAGCTCATTGAGCCGAGCCGCAACATCATCTCTCCGGGTATTCTCCTTCCTCCGAGATCTCCATGACTCGAACAGTATAAGTCCGCCTGCCACAAGAAACAGAAACCCTTCGCTGATAAAGGTTGCGCCGGATTCAATGGCCTTTGATTCGGATAGCGGCCGAATGTGAGGCCTTGGGGCTGGCTTCTCGGCCTCGGATGCTGCAGCCTTTGCCTTTGCAATAGCCTCTTCCTCAGCTTTCGTTTCAGCTTGAGTCTTGACGGTCGGGGATGTAGGCTTGTGTTTTCGTAGCTCCGCTTCAGCAGCGGCTCGTCGTGTTGCCGCATGGTTGTCGCGTATTGTACCTAGCCGGAGGCGCATATCGAGTTGATGAAGGCCCTGGGCCATAGAGATGCAAATTCGTCGAAATCGCTCATGTTCGCGGGCCTGTGCTTTTATTTGATTCTGTTCGAAGGTCAGTATTATCTCGCTGGATTATGCGGACAGGTAAGGGTTATGCTGACGTACGGCTATCGGCTTTGACAGCGTGCGGATGGCAAGGGAGGAGAGCTTCAACGTGAGGGACATGGTGGCCTGAGGTTGAGGGGGGCGGGGTATAATGGGCAATGGCAGTGGAGGTCACAGCGATGTTGACAGGGCATCCATCGCAGACACGTCTTGTCAGAAAAGGTCAGCCGTGAGTCACGAACGTCGTGGGCAATCGGAGAATCGGTGCTTTCCTCGAAAAACCCGCGCCGCCATCGTCATCCTGGCCGGACAGATCGTCAGGCATCAGCGTCCAAATACGGCTAGCGCAGGTCTCGGCCGCACCCAAGCATTTTCTGCCGCTTGTGCATGCTGACATCAGCAATGCCCGTTGTTCTGGCGGCCTGGCTGAATGTTTATCGATTGCCTTTTCAGGGAAAACGTTTTCATCGTGTGAGTCCGTCTTTGCGCTGGTCTTCTTCATCCCTTAAGCTCTTCCCGGCCTGGCCTTCCCCCACCTCCCGCAAAGACTGACGGTGCGGCGTTGGATGCATATTCTTGTTTTTGAGCGTCATTGTTAATATTCATTGTTGATTTCTTTTTGGTGTGTCTACCTTTCCAGGTCCTCGACCCCCCCCTTCTCGTTCGCGGGGTGCCGACCCCAGAAGTACTAACGAACAAAAACGAATAGGGATACCAGCAGCCCACGTTCATATACCCCGTCTGCTTTGAAATTGACTGTTCATATCCTAATCGATGATTGCTACGGCTTCATATTTTGCGAGTATCTGTCCGCGCCATTATTCAAGGTCAATACCATTCATATAGTTTGACGCCAGCAAGACAAAAGCGAGGGAGATAAGCAGGGAGGAATATCTCCGACATAACAATGGAAGCATTATCGCCACGATCTACAAACCAGATGATCAAGCCCAAACCTTCCATGGAACGAAAAGTATTGGATAAAAATGCAGCTGCGACAAATGCTGCCCAGAAAGCCGCGACGGCCAAAAATCATGCGCCACCACCACCGGCTCTTATCCTCGAGCCGGGAGATGACGGAGAGCGATATTCAACCGGCGCATTTCTTGGTAAAGGGGGGTTTGCAGTCTGCTATGAAGGGTCTCTGTTGCGGAATGGCCGTGTGTTCGCAATGAAAGTCGTCAAGTCTGAGATGGCACAAAGAAAGATGCAAGAAAAGGTACCATTCACTTGCGGTGCAAACTGAGCTATGTTACTAATCAGGCTGTATAGTTTCGCACTGAGCTTCAGATACACTCGAAGATGCGCCACCCTCACATCGTTGGTTTCCATAGAGCCTTTGCTTTCAGCCAGTGCATATACGTGATTTTGGAGCTGTGCCCCAATGGATCAGTCATGGATATGGTGCGAAAGCGCAAGTGCTTGTCATTGCCGGAAGTCCGACGATTTATGATTCAGCTTTGCGGCGCGGTAAAATATTTACACAGGCGGAATGTTGCACATCGTGACCTGAAGATGGGTAACTTGTTTCTTGACCAAAATATGGACATTAAAGTGGGCGACTTTGGGTTGGCGGCCATGATAATCTCGGAAAAGGACGAGAAGAGAAGAAAGACATTATGCGGAACACCGAATTACATCGCGCCCGAAGTCCTCGACCGAAGCAAAGGAGGACATACACAAAAGGTTGACATTTGGTCATTGGGTGTCATTTGGTAAGACTGCCTCGCTCTGAGCGCTGTAGAGTGGGCAACAACTAATAGACTTTAACAGTTTCGCCATGCTTACGGGGTACCCACCCTTCCAATCAAAAACCCAGGAAGAAATCTATAAGAAAGTCCGCAATCTTACCTACGTCTGGCCCGGGGACTCAGGATTCGCAAATCACATTCCCGAGGAAGCCAAGTCTTTGGTTAGCTGCTGCCTCAACCTTGAAGAGCAGGACCGCCCAGAGCCAGATGATATCGTCGAGCATGCATTCTTCAACATGTACAATGGGTGTATACCTAGACGACTAGACCCAGGGTGCACTGTCCAAAAGCCGAGCTGGCTCAGACCAATCGAGCCGCAAGGGGATTCGATGGCTTTCGGTAATGGACTGGATTTCGACGACAAATTTGCGAGCTACATTAAAGATGTAGATGATCAAATCCTACGATACCGGACCTGCAAGGCAGCATTCTACAGCTCCTGCGGCGTCGGTAGGAAGCCTGATGGCACAGCCCGAAAATCTGTCGGACACAACGCTTCGAAATCGGGATTTGCCGAGTGCCTTTCAGAAGAAGAAAAAGGGTTACAGCCATTGATGCCGCTCCCAGAAGATGTCGTCTACAAATACCCCCATATTTTAATTGGTGATTGGAGCGTTCCGGAGTCGCTACCTATCCGAAGAGACGAATCTTCCTTTGACAGCAGCGTTATATCAAGCAAAAGTAGTAGCACATCTCTTCGAAGCGTCTCACAATCGAGAACGCAAGTGGCTCTCGCAGCGGCCCAGCAGCGACGACACGACTCACAGAGTCATGCGGCATCCCTTCGACAGCAAGCTTTGACAGGCAGAGGGGCTGTGAGAAAAGTTCCGTCACTAACCGAACAACCGATACCGACTGTGAAGCCCACGGCCGATGTGCGAGACACCGGGCTCAACGAAGCTCCTGTGCCTACCGGAGGATTAGCTGACCGCCCAATTCGAACTCGACGCGGCGTAGCGGCTTCATATTCGGTCTCGGGTTCAGCCCGGGGTATGGAAAACATCTTACCGCACTCGTCTCAGGAAAGTAACGCTCCTGGAATGTTGACTGTGGGAAAGACGCGCTCCCAATCCCGTAAGTTAGAAGCTGCGAACCAGGTCGCCGTCCCACCCTTCCCCGTGCTAAAGGACCGATCTGTTTCTACAGGTCGAGAAGATTGGCCTTCGAGATCGAGACAGCCTTCTGTAAGATCTGTCCGCAAGGACCCGAGAGACGCCATAATTAAGAAGCCCGAACCTGAAGTGACTCAGCGAGACGAACCGGCCCCAAGATCGCAACCGGAAGCCCACCCCCAGCCCATCAGCCGATCTGGAAGTAAAGCGTCGGTTTCTTCCGGCGGCAAACCACGGTCGAGTCTCGGATTGCATTACCTTCTCCACCCCGATGACCCCTGTGAATTGTTGCCCGGGTCATCAGTTGGCGATGTGAATATAGACCTGCGGAATATGTTATCTAACTTGGTACCTCATTCCACGGCTCGACGGCGAATCGCATCTCAGCGGCCACCGCATGCATATGTGATCAAGTGGGTAGACTACACGAATCGGTATGGGATTGGATACGTTCTGGATGACGGTAGCGTTGGATGTGTTTTCAAAGCTGAGAATGGGCAGCCTGCGAGTGGCGTAGTACTGCGAGATGGCGAAAAGCACATCCGCCGCAAGGCTCGCAGCCAAGACAAGTCCGAGTCTCAGTTGCGCCCATACTCTGAGGCCGACCAGCTCGTTCCTCGCCATGGGCACCCTGTGGAATTCTACGAGAATTGTAGCGATGAGCTCCTTGAATGCCGTGGTGGTATCCGTAAGGCACTGATATCTCCATCATTATTCGAGGTCAAAGGGTCTAGCGGAGGAGTCAAAGTTCGCACGGACTCAGGAGTCGACCGCGCACGTGCAGA